GAGAAAATTGGTTAGATTACCAAGTCCACCCACTCAAAAGCTTCGCCAATTCCAGTGAAGAATCCCTCACCCAATAACAATTACATTGCGACTTATAACATGACTTTACAGCCAATTCTTTCCGGATGCAATTGCAATTAGGGACAATTTTCCCAAATAAAATCCACAATGAAAAATATGTGTCAATAGATATCAATTTGAGATGATCTCCGCAGAAGATTTATCATAAAAAATTTACACTTCACATCGTCTTCATTGAGCAACTTTTAAGCTTAGCTCGAGTGAAAATAAAAGCTCCACTGACTTCCAAATAAAATTTTTATCACCGTGGAATTTATCTAACATTTTAATGTGAGGACACATCGCGCCGTCTAAGAGGACGATAAAATATTAACAGGCGCATTCATTGATTTTATTCTTTGGCTGTTTTGCATGATAAAAGATGCTCTCAAAAAGTGCTTTCATGTTACACAAGAAGAGAAAAAAAAACGCGCCATAGTATATCTAGGAAAATCCTCTCACCCAGCATTTTATTCATTCAACTTAATGGCGGCACAGCAACTTTTATGAACACCATCGCTAAGAGGAAGGCACAAGTAGGTGAAAATTCGTTTCCTGTTTTGAATTTTAACACCACACGGAAAATGTTTCTCTCCCTTGCGGCAAGAGGATTTTTCCTCTACATCTATTTGTTGCACAGCTCAAGGGTAATTGAGGCTATACACAGAGCAGTTGCTGCACACTTTCTGACTTCTGACAAACTGAATCGAGTGTTTCAACATCTATTAAAAGAGTTTCTCAAGCATATTGACTAAAAAAAATTTTTACAGTCGTAGTACATTTGATACATTGCGTTAATTGCTGAAGTCAAATCTTGAAACTTCAAAGTACTTCTTGTGTAGAAATTCTAGACTAAATTCAAATTAAAAGAGAGAAATTATTAGTTACTTTTCCCACTATTTTCCACTCTTTGTATACCTCAAACCACCTTTGCCTAAATCCTCACATGTGTAGATACATGAATTTTTTGCCGGTGAATCCTTTTAATATCTTACAATATTCTCAATAGTGCTGCGGAAGATGAAAGGATAAAAATGGCCTGAGCGTTGGGGAGATTGTGCAAAATTTTCCACTATGAATACATTCATGCTGGAAGATGGGCGGCAAATTGAAGGTGTTGAAAGCCCACCCAACCGCCCCCAAAAACAGTTGTGAGAATATCAACGAAGAATAAGCAACACACTCTGTGCAATATGCACAAACTTCTGTGCATTAACAGAAAAACACGATGTTGTGGTGGAGGATGAAAAGATATTAATATAAAATAGCGTGTGAATTTTTATAATGGGCGACATACTCAGCAAATTAAAATTTTGCAAAGCACACACTTTTTCTCATGTTAGAACATTCCCTTTTGCACATACACAAGTGAAACTACTCTGGGCGCATGAATGATGACGTGCTAAGAGGATATATGATATTTTTCAGCGTGGAAATTTAATTGATATTGCAGGGATGCGCCTTGGAACGTGCATAGAAATTAATTTTCAAGTGAATAAACTTCCTGGGAGAAAATATTAATTTTCTTAGCGCGCCATGGCAGGGAAAGAAGTCTGGCATTTCACCATCTCTTCCCACAACAAACCATTCACGCCAATGGGCATGTTAAGCGATATTTTTGAGCGGAATACCAATTACACTCATTCCACTACACTCATATTTTCTCGGGAAATTTCATATTTATCAGTGTCTTTTCTGCACTGGAAATTTTGTGGCGAAATGTATGGAATTACTTTAATTATACAATTTTTAAAACCCAGCATTTGAATATCCTTATACATTTATGTAACTCAAAATCTCAAATAACAGAGGCAGAAAATGCCCTTAAAATCTCCACTTTTGACTTTTGCCATGTTTATCTCAAGAGAAACAGTTGAAAATTGTCCCTCAAAACTCTCGAGACGAGTGTCAACCAAAAACATTCTACAATTCTCTGGGAGTTGAAAATTTATTTCTCCGCAGCACAAGTGGCACAGGAGATAATGGGATGGAATTGAGTAAAGCTCAAGGATGCCTCTTCATCTTTAATTGTGAAAAAGCTATGCCATTGTGTGTGCGTCTTCATTGCAGAATCTCATCACGCAACATTTCATATTCAACCCAATGAATAGAGGAAGCAAGTCAATGAGAATCTCTATCCTTCGCGAAAGACAATATTATTCCCCACCGTGACATGCTTTGTCTCCTCGGCTCCTCCTCAAACCCAAAGAACAATGTGCAGTGAATTTATGGATTGTATGAGATTTTCCAGAGAGCCACCCAAAGAATGTTCATTGACTGTCCTTTTGGGGAGAGTGGAACTCCGTACCATCAGTGAAGTTGTCCTATTTAGAAGGTTTTGTGGGGAATACCGAATTAGATACTGGCTGGGAATTTGACCCCAAAATAACTGCACACGGAGCAGAGCAAAATACTCTAGAGAGAAAATCAACCCTTCTCTTGCTGTCTTGCCCAGTTAAAAATCCCCACTAACAGAATGGATTGAGATGAACTTTCCAGAATGCGGAGTAATTAAAATTTAATCTAATGCAGTTGCCACACCACTCACGCTGTCCAGTAAAAAACACACGTAGTAACTCGAGCAGTTACATTAAATTCAAGTCATCATATTAATTTTTGTAGCAACGAGATTTTATTCAGTTTTAAACAAATTTAGTGAACGCTTTGTTAGATGTTACAAGCAGAGAAATTATCTGAATTACTTTCCAAGTTTTACAGAAATGTTCTATTCAATGCAAGAAATTTGTTTTCGATCAAATTCTCCTCTATCAGATGTGCCAGTTCAATGTGTGTTTCATTAAAAGAAAGAAAATGAAAAATTTACCACTGAAATCACTATAAAATGCAAATTGGTTTAATTATTCCAAAATAATCAGTGAAACTTAAACAGTGGAAACCCAAAATAAACAATCTAACAGTCCTTTTTTCATACTCTTCATTGTCTTTCTTCTTCAATCCAATGATATTCAAAAGAATTCCAACCTTCGTGTGTAACCTTTTCAGCTGATTCCCAACTTTGCATATGAAAATACGCGAAAGAATATGATGTGCAACTGACAAAGAGCAAATTGTGTCAATTGTATAAATAAATCACACACTCTAAAACTGCTCTTAATATATACAATGTTGCATCTCAAAGACGTGTAAAATCTGTCAATCACACTGTGTTCGACAAACTATTGAGCATTTCTGCCTCGTCGGATTTCTGCCTCCCCAAAACAAATTTATCAAACCTTTCCTCCAGACAAACTTTTTCAATTGATTTAACAAGAAAATCGAAAAGTTCCCCAAACAAAAGTCCATTGTCTCTCTCTCTATCTCGAGGGAGGAATTTTCCCAGGGAGAAAAAAAACCGCCATGTTCGTGACTCACGAGACTAAACATGCCTACAAAAAGTATTTCAAAAATTTCCTCCATCAGTGCAAAATCATAGGCTTTCATTAAAATCACTACTTATGGATATATTGTTTCACTCACGCCCCAAGTCGCTTACAGAATTTCTCGGATAAAACATCAGCACACATGGAAATCAAATCCGCAAATACACATCTCATTAGCGGACCAGGATGCGATTCTTCATCATCGCTCAAATTCAGCAATTTGAGATTCTCAAGTTTGCCAGAATGTATGGGAATTTTGGGAAAATTTCACGTATTGCATTAAAATCCATTTAATAAATGCCACAGCACTAAACTTTATTATGATTTTGCCATTGTTTCGAGAATATTTTGCCACCCATTCAAATCCAACCCCCGTTTTTGAATCATGCACAGCGCACCAGAGATGCAAAGCAAGCAGCGAGGGATCATCGAAGATGAGAGATAAAAATGGCAAGACGCAATATTAGCTCACTAAACCTGTTAGCTTACGAGCAAACATTTGAATAAACACTGCAGGAGTCTGAGAATTTCTAATATCTCCTGTGTATCAACTTCATCCTTCATCTCTAATCCTTGGAGTCATCAACTCTGAGTCTGCACAATTTTCTCCGAGAAAGTTGCAATTTCTTGTACAACACAAAACTAAAGCTTTGCATCCACTTCTTCCCCTGCCAACTCCCCTTTTCTTGCCACCCAGAGAGCCCGAAGGAGTGCAGCGGAAGACGGAAAAGGTGAACTGATAGAGAGTTCACAGGAAAACACCAAGAGTGTCTCCGCGCTTTTCCAATGAACACAGAATGGGAAATGCAACTCCAAAATGAGAATTTATCCTATTTACATTGTCGTAAACAAGGAAAAAGAACTTGCTCAGGTGGATTTGAGAGAGTTTTTACCACTCCTGTACTTCTAGGTCTATAAATCTCTGGGGAAACTTAAGTGATTCCCCAGGAAAATTGCTGAGAAAGTTTTTCAATTGGAAAGTGGTAGATATACAAAAGCATTTATGTGCGGATTAGAGTTCTGCCTCGGAATTATTCATGAGATTGCTCACCTCTTCTAAAGGCTCAAACCAGACGCCTGCGTCCGGATGCTCCCTCTCTGGAGACTCACTTGTCCGGAAGATCATGATGCTGTCGTCCAGCAGATTCCTGTCCCCATGCTGGGTTGCAGCATTTTGCCGCAGACACTTCTGCACCTCCTCACTCATTGTCCTCAAATAAACACTCCTGGGATGCTGAGAAATTTGCCAGAAAAACCACACGCGTTCCGGCAATTTACACCAAAATTTCTTTTGCCCAGAACACCTATAAAAGCTGCCCAATTCTTTCAGACGATTCGCACGAAATATATTAGAGACTCTATTAAACACCTTTCCAACGTAATTCATGGAAAAATCTGGAGAAAAACCGTGTGAAAATGCGAAAAAATAAGCAAGCGCGTGGTCACAAAACCACAACAACACTCTCTCTCTCTTTGTGAGGTTATATCAGATACTCTGTCAAAAGCCCGCTTCACCTTTTACACCTGCCGATAAGTTTCCATGGAAAACTAATTTTCAAGGAATATTTAGTATGATTTATTTCTCAAGTACGTCTAGGCTTTACTTCGGAACCTTCTTCGGTGGATTCTTATTTCCCGGCGCCAAGGGACGATTATTCTGATGCTGTTGACGATTCTGTTGACCATCGCGACGTCCGGAAAAGGCATTGTTCCGGCCCTGCTGATTCCTGCCGCGCTGATTTTGTCCACCGCGGTTTTGTTTGTTCATCTCTTGTCGATTCCTTGTCTTTTGCTGTTCAAATGTAGAGAAAAAAAACTATAAAATACGAAGAGGTTTTGAATAAAGGTCATCTTACCTGAACATCTTCCTTCACCATATCAATCACTTCGTCGGGGATGCGAAGGTATTTGATAGTACTTCCTCTGATGTAGCACTCAGGCATTCTCCAGAATCGGTCGCCATCCTGGAAAAGCCATCGGAAGTTATGAAAACTGAAACGTTTGATAGGGAAGAAACAACTCACTTTAGACGTGCAAATCACCTCTCTGAGATTAATGTTCATCCATGTATCGCAACTAACCAAGTGTCCATTGTACGTCTCACCATTCTTGAGCTCAACGAGCTGGAGAATTCAAGATAATTATGAAAATTAGAAAACTTCACCCTAAACGTTTCAGGTGTCTTACCATCGGGTGACTCTGAGCGGTTTTCAGTAACGATAGTGGCAGCTATAATGAAGTAACAGTCACAAAAGTCTCTATGGTGTGTTATTCCATTAGTTAACTTACCATTTTCTCTGATTTTCTCACAATTTCCAAGCAAAAACCGTGTCTTTTTCTTCTTGTTTACAAAAACCACAAATCTCACACTCACTTTTCCGAAAAAGCCTATTCGAGTTACTGCCGTTTCGGAGACTCAGATGGCGCTCCGAACGCGACGTCATTCTGTCAAATCGTGTTTGGAAAGTTTTCTACGTGAGAAAATGCAATAGAAATTTCCCTATTTTACAGTGAAACAGTAGTACTCCGCCCTTAGACAGTGCCCCAAAGTGTCTTGACATCACCTGCGATGGCGAGTACATCGAGGTTATTGTTTTTTATGGCTAGACAACTTGCAATATGGAACGAAAAGCGAACCCTTGGGGAAATGCCATTGACTCAGCAATGGAGGGTTTTTATTGGCAATTTCCCACGGAATCCATGAATATTTGAGAGTTTTTCCGCAGCTGGAAACTTCCAGCGGCCTCGTCGTGCCACGTATTGATTGCATTCTCCCTTGCAGATGCGACATTTCCAACAAGGTGGTGTGCTATGCGCACCCAGAGGCGCCCCTTATCGAGGACTACAGGGCCGGAGACATGATTTGCTCCGAGTGCGGACTAGTCGTGGGCGATCGCGTCATCGACGTGGGCTCAGAGTGGCGCACATTCAGCAATGAAAAGTCCGGCGTGGATCCCAGTCGTGTGGGAGGTCCTGAGAATCCTTTGCTGAGCGGCGGCGACTTGTCCACAATGATCGGCCCAGGAACTGGACCAGCGTCCTTCGACGCTTTCGGGAGTGAGTATCAGTTGCATTCAGCATCCTTGCATCCTTCGTTTCATATTTCTACAAACAGATTGATAACTCTTTACAAAGTGGCGCAAATGAACTGATATTTCATTTCTTTGTGCAATATTTTGTTTATATTCACTTGGAGTGTGAAACTTGATAAAGATAATCACTAAGCAAGCAACAAGAACTCACAATGAAAATTGATCATTATGAATTTCAAGGTTGTATCAAAACTAATTATGATATATTGCACAGTTGCGAACACCTCGATATTTAATATCCACGGAATTCCGTGGGAAAATCAACAGTGTTATTTGGACACATAGTTTAGAAGCATTTAAACTTGCATGTCGATTGAATGGAATTTATTATATAAATAAGTAATGGAGATTTACGAACTATCAATAGAGCATTTAATACTTCCCTCAGGAAATTAATAAAGTCACTAATTAGACATATTATAAATTTAATTACTCTGCTCTGCATTATTCTGCCATGTTACCTTCTTTCTCACCTGGAAACTCCTCTGGTCTTTCAGCCTCAAAGTATCAGAATCGCCGCACGATGAGTAGCTCCGATCGTGCCTTGATTGCGGCCTTCAAGGAGATCTCCACAATGGCAGACAGGATAAATCTGCCCAAGACGATTGTGGATCGCGCCAACAACCTCTTCAAGCAGGTGCACGATGGTAAGAACCTGAAAGGACGCAGCAATGACGCCAAGGCGTCGGCGTGTCTGTACATCGCGTGTCGCCAGGAAGGAGTGCCGCGCACTTTCAAGGAAATTTGCGCTGTGAGCAAGATCAGCAAGAAGGAGATCGGCAGGTGCTTCAAGCTCACCTTAAAGGCGCTCGCCACGTCGGTGGATCTCATCACGACGGCGGACTTCATGTCGCGCTTCTGCTCGAATCTCGATCTACCCAACATGGTGCAGCGCGCGGCCACGCACATTGCCAGGAAGGCTGTCGAGATGGACATTGTGCCGGGACGATCGCCCATTTCGGTGGCCGCGGCGGCCATCTACATGGCATCACAGGCGTCCGAGCACAAGAAGAGCCAGAAGGAGATTGGCGACATCGCTGGAGTGGCGGACGTAACGATCAGACAGTCGTACAAACTCATGTATCCGCACGCCGTGAAGCTCTTCCCTGAGGACTTCCGCTTCACCACGCCAATTGACCAGCTGCCACAGATGTAGGCACAGCAAGTTGATGTACAATTGATATACCTTACTTGCAATATCCTCTAAAATTCGTCTTTATTGGTTCTTCAACCTCTGTTTTCTGATTTTCGCGATTAATGTTATTTTCTATATAATTTCGCCGCGGAGACGCCGCTCGAGAAGGGATTCGATTGAGTGTGTTTATGAGGCACTCACTGTGGATTTGATGTAGTTGCGTAAATGTTTTATGTATTGAATTTGAAGGAATCATCAAAATTTTACAGTAGTTGCAAAATCTTGTTTGATTTGTCATATTATTTTGAACATGAACTACACAGAATACCACAGTGAGAACATTTAATTAAGTAAAAAGAAAAAGATATCAAAAAGGCAAAGAACATGATAAAAACAGTTCAAAAGGTTGCAGTTTATCTGCTCACAACAAAATGTTATTGTCTCCTCAAGAATTTACACAATATGCATTTATTATCTCAATCGAGGGCCTGCGAGCAGCGCTGTCGCAGCAATGGATTCCCTTAGAAGATATGAGACACTCCTTTTTCCGTACACCTGAATTTATAAGAGCGAAGATGGAAACTTGTGCGAGCGCGTGTGTGTGTGTGTGTGTGTGTAAATGAGGCCTTAAAATTATTATTTTCTCAACTGTAAGACAAGAAAGTGAACAGAAACTATTAATCGTATACATTTTAGTGGTGTTGAATTGATGAGAACTCTTTCTATTAGCTCTTGTATTTCCTTGATGGTGATTAAAGGGACACTTTTGATATGCAGTCCCACTATTTTCATCCCTCTCCCTTCAGTCACTATCATTGACTCTGTGCGACAGTGTGGAAGAGTTTCTTAGATATTAAAGATATAAGATTTCATATATAAATCCTACAAATTGAGAAATCATCTGTGAAATTGTCCAACATGAGGTAAAAAATTTCAATAAATGACATTGGAAACGCATTACTTACTCTATTATTCAATAAATGCTCTTCTAAAGTTCGCTCTCGATATATATATATATATATCTATATATGTATGTATGAAAAATTGCAAAATTCCCCGTCACTTCTTCGGTGTTTTATGTACAAAAGAATATCGTAAGTTTTATTTGTCGTGTGCCTTTTCGACTCTGACTAGTTTGATTTCAGTTGGCATCCGCGTAAAAGCTTCAGAGGCCATCGTTCTGGCGAGAATTGCAGTACTTGTCCGACATGAGTGACAAGATCTGCTCCAGCTTGTCGTGACGCTCCTTGGCGGGTGTTAGGGCACCCTTACTGCCCCACAGGAACTTCATGTGGAACTCAGTTCTGCAACGAACAGAGAATTCGTCAGAGCATAAGTTTTAAATAATAACAAATAGTTACCAACCTGAAAGCATCCTCCAGCAGTTCATCCAGGCGAATACTGGAGTCGTGCAGAATCATATGCGCATTTCGGCGATACGTTGGGAGATTCGTGGCAAAGTTCCGGGCAGCCTCAAGGTGGGCAGAGAAGATGGACAGCCCAAAGTCACTAGCTGAACTCTCCCAGGCAGCAATGCAGGCGCCAATGAGTGGGGAAGACGTCGGATTGGAACCTGAAAGCCGCACAAAACCTGTAGAAATGGTAAAAATGCTTCATATACAAAAGCAATAGGTGTCTTACCGAGCACTTCGTCAATCCTCCGGTCCTTTAGGAGGACATAGGGCAGTAGGTGGGGCAGACAAGTGTTGGGTGCTTGCGGATTCGAGCAGTCATTCATGCTCTTAAGCGTGGGTCTCAGCTTCGCCTCGAACGTGAAGGCGCTCTCTGTGAAGTTTTGCCTCAAAGCATGCCAGATTGGATCCATTCGCTGGATTTGAGGCATGCAGAGGCCCAACATAATCCCACAGAAGCTGAACAAGTTGCCCATAGCTGTCTTCACATCCAGCGCCACGAGAATCCACTTATTCAACAATTCTGTGCGCTCTTCGTCAGTTGAGCATGTCAAGATGGTTACGGCAACCAAAAGTCTCAGACATTGAGTTCTCTCGACAATATCCTCCCGGAATTGCCTCCCTTGGGGCAGTGTAATCATCTCCAATCCCATAGGTTCAAGTCCCCGTCTACTTGACACTCCCTCCTCGCCCAGGATCATCTTGATATCCACCCGACTGAGGTGATTGGCCAGAATCGTCGGTCCATTCTCCGCCAACATCATTCTGAGCGTGTCCAGAGCGCCGCCGTCCAACGGTTTATTGTCCACCGCCGGCAAAAGGAGTGTCTCAAAAGCCTCAACATCGAATCTCGACACGGGGTCAATCAGTGGTATCTCCATGGCCAGCAGGGCCTCCTCGGCAGCAATCGGATCCATTTCCATGTAGCATTTCAACGTGACCGAGGACGCAGAGTTGGGAATAAATCTCGGATTCCTGATCACCACTCCTCTATGTTGCACCATGTCCACGCTATCAGCCACCGAACTCACCGCTGAATCTCCTGACCCATTCCCGGAGTCCGATCCACTGGCGTGGTACGAGGGATGACGATAGAGCGGTCTCTGAACCTCCGGCGGAGCCTCCTTGAGCGCCCTCGCCGGTTTGGGAGGCGGACTGGGCGCTGTATTCTCTTTCTCATCCACCGGCGAGGTCTTCTGCTCCAGACAAGGCGACAATGATTTGTCGCAACTGATGGTGCGCGGGAAGGTGGAATTCCGGGGCTTCTCCTCAACTGAGCGGCTCATCAAAGAACCACTGCTGTCCTCTCCAGAACCTGGGAAACCGATTAGAATTGTCGGTGTTTGAGAGAGACTGTCTTCAGCAAGTTTACAGGGCATTTTCTCACCTGATCCGTTGATTACTCCATCAGCGCTGCTGTACTTTTCCTGCTTCTGCACCGCATTCGGTTGGATGGGTGTCAAGCTCTGTGATCTCTGCTTCTTTGCCGGCAGCCTGGGCGGCACATCTCTCTTAGTCCTAGGCGGTGAGGACACTGGACTCCGGTGCGCCACCTGCTGATTGTATGGGTTGTAGCGACAGCCTGGTGGCGCTTGAGGAATCGCCGGTGGAGCATATTTGGCCACGTAGAATGACAGAGGATACAATCTGTTGCAGGGAAACTGAATCCGCGCCCCAGAAGCCACGGAGACAGCCTTCCCAGAGCCCACGTAGAATGTAATCAAGTCCGCCACTGTGTCATAAGCGTCATCTTCAAACTGGTACTGGAATCTCTCGTACACCGTGTCCTTCTGAATGGTCACCTTGTTGATGACAAAGTGCAGCACGCTGTTCTTCGTCTTGCACGTGAGCACAAAATTGCCTGGCTGAGATGTGCAATCGCGAATGATAAAGTCTCCGTCCCTCTTCACAATCTCTTCAGCTCTCTGACGAGGAATTGGCCCATGATACCACGCATGAGAGCGCAAATCTCTCGAATCCAGAGAGAGTTCCCACTCTAGAGCCTTCTTCAGCTGAACACTATCGGCTTCTTTGTCCTGAAATAAACAGCCAAGTTGCATTTAGAAAATTATTTTCAGAGAAAAATCACCAACTCACCATGATTATCGACTCTCTCTAATCAGACAGTCATCCTCACGGCCAGGAAAACGCCCTAAAAATGGTCGCTCGCGAAAAATCCCACTCAAGGCTCCGATATTAGGCAAATAATCCTATTCAGACCCTCTCCTTATGCTTCTCTTCTCCCTGTATCGCTGTCTAAAGTGTAATTTCACGGTCTTGTGCTGCAACAATGAAGTGGTGGCTGGTCGAGGGAGAGGCAAAGGAACAACGTCACCCTCTGGAATTCCCCGCGCGGTGTACAAAAGGGCACAAAAAACGAGCCCTCCCTTCACACAGCCCGTGAAGAAACTGCCGCTATCACAGGAATCTCTTCACTTTCACCGAAAACTCCATTTTAGGCATTTTCACGGCACTATCAAGTATTAATTTACACTGGAATCTGGTGGAAAAACTCCCTCGAGCATCCCGGAAAACGACAGAGAAGTTGAAGATGGAAAACTGCCCTTTCTCTGGATTTTCTCTATTGATCCGCAACCTCAATCGTGCGCACACTCTCCAAATTCCTCCTTTTTCTCTGCCTTTCACCACTCCTTCTCTCTTCAACACCACCCAAAAATTCACACACACGCCCTTTATTTCATGGCAAAGAGATCCTAAAGAGATATACAATCTTTTTCTCTATACTCACATTGTTTTTTTGTAGAAAACTCTTCTAAAAAAGACACTTAAAAATATCCGAGAAAACATAAAAGACAGCCACACTTTTTCTCTCTCTCTCTCCCCAATTGCAGGAGGGCCGCCTAAAAGGGTGAATTCATCCCCAACTTTGTCCCAAAGTCCAATCTTGCTCTCCTCTGATATCGATTGTTGGCTCTGCAAGCAAACACCACACAAAACCGTGTATTAAAACCAAAATCTCACACAGTTGCGCTAAAGAGTGATTCTAGTAAATTGGCGTGCTCTTCCCAACAACGTCCAATTAATCAATGAAAATGTGGCAGCACTCATCTTCCCATGAAATTGCTCTCGAGCCAAGAGGGACTCCCAGAGCGTCTCTCTCTCACTCCGAGCATGAGGTCGTTGCTATGTTTTGTCTTTCTCGAGGTACTTGAACTCTCTTCTCTGCCAGCCCGGCCGAGTTACAGCAATTGAGCACGGCTGAGCAGCTGAGGACCCGAGAGAAATCCGGGCACCGGAAGAGGGACAAAAGGAACTGAAGAAGGCTCTTAAAGAGCACCAAAAAACCGCTTAAATCAGCTTTAATGTGTCTATAAAATTCTTAGGAATGAAAAGTCTGAAATTTAAGCAACCGTCACAGCATTGAAATAATATTGATGTGAATAAGGTGAAATTATCTCAATGTTTATGAATAGAATATTTAAAGAATTTAAAAAGGGACATATTCTTAATGGTTATGAATTACTTTTAAGTTGTAGTTTTGAGTTTCAGTACCATCAATATTGTCACATCAATTTTTCACAAGCATGAAACCAGACATGGTGACCGTGGCTCGATACAAAATATCCCAGTTATGCCAGTAATTAAAACTAAACGACAAGTTTCCCCCTCATCATAAATTATTCCCTTCTTCAACACCACACATTTCATGCGTGGTGAGAGCAGATAACACAAAGTGATCATCACATCGACCCACATTCGATTTATCACCCACTTGAGTTGGCTGAGAAATTGAATTAGAGCCTACTCGAAGGGCCACCCTCTTGGCATGCATAATAAATTTCCACTCACTTGATCTCCTCGCGCTTGATGAGCTCCACAATGGCGAGCACAATAAATGTGGAGGCCAGCAGGAAGGCGACGCTGGGCCATTTGGTCGCCAGAATAGGCCCAAAGCGTTCATCGATGAGCACCTGGACGAGCAGAAGGACGGTGTGAAACGTGAGCATCATCGTCGTGCAAATGACCCACATGGAGTTGGAGAAGGGATTGCGCTGCCACAACAAGTGACTACGATGGACGAAGCTCGCGGAGATGACAACCAAATGAACAATGATTCCGTAGAGGGTGAAATACTTCACCAACTTGAGATCATCGCTCGAGCTCTCACCATCCGTGAGAAGATCGACAGGATGGCCCAGGAAGATGCACGAAAAGGTGAACTGTCGCGAGAAGAAGCATATCACTACCATCCTGAAGGGACAACACTGTTAAGTCCTACTCACCGTGATGACAATTGATGGGATGAATTTACAGGCGTAACACCAGAGCACGAACAGGCACAGGTTCCTGTCCACCTTTGATTTGCGCCACGTTGCCCTGTGCATGGTGTCCGAATCGGCGGGCGTTCGCGTGAGCGTCAGCGATATGAGTGGTGTGGTCACCACCATGAGGTAGACGAGCGTGAGCGGTGGGAAGATGGGCGCGATGCCCGCGAAAGCACTCAATGTGTTCACTACTGCCAAGGAACAGAGACAGCACATAAGGAATTGAAGACAATTCCAGACCCCCACAGTCACGCGGCGTGATAATTCGATCAGCGCCACAATGGACAGCGGGTCCTCGCGCGAGATGGCAATGGAGCAGGGCAGGGAGTTGAGCAGCCGACTCAGGTACACGGGAGAAATCACGGCGCTACGATTGTACTGCTTTGGCGGCAGCCATTTGGCCAAGCGACTACGATAAGTGCCGGTGGTTTGGCTCGTGAGATTTGTCTCCACATACGCGGGAAAATCCTGACACACTTGTGGATAGAAGGGCTCCACGCCAATGCTGCAGTCCGCCTGGAGGAAGATCTCTGCATTCGTGGCATTGGCCGAGGATCCCAGGCACACGACAATTTCACCGTACGACTGCATAATGCTCAACATCTCGCGCGTGGCATCAGCTGAACAATCCGTGAAGAGAGACACAAGAAGTGGCACATTGTCCACCTTCTCCAGATGGGGTCGAATGTTCTCAATTCCTCGAGGAAGCTTTGCCTTGTTCGCGTTCCAGAGGACAGGTCCACTCTGCTCTGTGGAATCCGTGAGGCAGCTCAAAGATTGTGTTCCGGCATTCGCTTGATTATCACAAGCGAGAGTGGTGTCAGTGGACAAATGTCTGCCAGTCTCATCCATGATCTCCATCTTGATGGACTCCTCTCGGCCTTCACTGTCCATCTTCGAGAGGCTCATGGCAGACCCACGAACTGATGGGCTCGTCGTTTGTTTACCCAACAAATGACTCTTCTCATTCTCCAACTCCTCCTTCCCTTCAGTTTCCATGTCCTCCTGAACACCACTCAAGAGTGAAATATGACAATTCCACCCCGATTCGAGGCCCATTTTCTCCGAGAAAACACGAGAACGCAATTCATTCTCCTTGGAGAAGTGAACAAACCGAATGCAAGCTCTGTCCAGACGCTCAATCAAATGCACAATATCAGTCTGCGCCTGATATTGCATCGTCACCATCCCTATGAAGATCTGATGGCACTTCATCTCGAAACATCCCTCAACATCATTCACATTCGCCGCCTTGGGATCAGTGTAATTCACATTGTCCAGATTCGGAGTGCCCTTCATTCGCTCCTCCGCCGTGTCTATGTGCTCACACTTAGACGGATCAATATGTGACATCTTGTAGATGGACTCCGGAGGCAATTCCATGTACGCCACTTTGGAAGATGTTCCAGAAAGAGGCCCAGAAATTCCTCTCCGCAATGGCCGATAGGAAAATGCCGTACAATAGGCAGTTAGGGCATTTCTCTGGTAAAAATCCTGTGCTCGCTTCCTCTCCACCTCGCCCAGCGGGCGCAAATCCTTCCCATCCCAGTAATCGTCGCAGCAATCAAGAATGATGTCCGCCGTTCCCTGAGTCATCAGTTGCAACGACTGATCACGATGTTGGCGTAAAACCACGGACAACGAATGTGGGAAGGGCACTTTCACCTTCGACGCCAACTCCAATGAACGCGTGAATCTGGTGTCCCGACGAACGACATCAGGCTCCAAATGTCGATAACTTGCAATCTTCCCTTGTAGCGTGAAAACGTCTCTCGCTCTCTTCTTGAAGCCAATCTTTGTTGACAATCCACATAGGCAGCGGCTGTATAAACAGAAAATCGTTGTAAATATGGCAAGAAATCGCATTCATAAGATAAGATGGGGTTAAATCAAGTCAGGAGATATCAAATGTGAGTGTTTCAGAAGCCCTTTGTGATTCTATAGTGAGATATTAGTGCAATATTCTGCAAGTAAGTGGTTTGAAGCGTGAAATGAAGCCAACAAACACGTGAAGAAAAAGACCTGCCCTTAATTCTCCTGATTGAGGGGCCTCAGAGAAGGTGTTAATAGATAATGCGGCACATTCTGGTATGCCTAATACATACCCATGCATAAAACTATTCAAACTCGACTCAACAATCTCATACCGATTGGTGACTGGCACCAAATCTTTGTCAAAGAGCGCCACAGCCGTAACATGGCCACAGAATTGGGAATAGTAAGCCTGAGTCAGTGGGCAGCAAGTGTTCACAAGAATAGCGAGTCCTGAAAAGACACTCAATTCACATAAATCGCTCTAAACAAGTCGCACAATCTCTTACCCAAAGGCTTCAGTGAATCCAAATGATTTCTCCATTCTTGACTATCAAACTCAAGCTTGAACGGACTGTGCTGATCATGTGTAAGATCCAGAACTTCAGCCACACTCTTCTCCTTCTGCGGCTGCTGTCCATTCTGCTGCGACTCAAAGCTAGTAGAGCTCGAGTGAGCACTCTGCTTCTCCCTCGGATCACGCAAAAAGAACACCTTCTCAGCGGTGGGATTTGGCCACGACAGGATCCCCTTCTTATCCACACAGCACAGCGCTGTCATCGTTCCCAGAACTTGCACAACATTCGAACTCCGGCCGAGAATCGATGCATCGCCCTGAATCAAGTTGATCCAATTGCCCACCTTCGTGCGCCACGGCAGCGTCAAATTCGCCCAGTCCACCACCGGTGAATTGTCCAGATCAGCGTGAAATTCACTGGGACTGGACTTCTCCTGAAAGGGACGCGGGATGGACAGAAGAGTCTCCAGCTTCGCCACACCCCAGAGATTGAGCAGGAGCCACATCGCTGGGAAAGTGAGAGGCAAGGTCGGCATCACAGCGCACACAGCGTTCTCAATGAACGCGCCGATCCACGTGAGTCCAGGCGGCGAGAAGAGATGCCCATTGTAGTTAAGCACAGCAAATAGCCACGTGACCAGAAGAACAATCAGGAAGCCCCACAATTGGATGAACACAGTCACAAGCTGTGAAGATAGAGAAAGTGTAAAATCAAGAGTTTAAAATTTAATTTCAAGTTGCATTGGTTTCATTTTATAGCGAAAAAGATTGATAGTCAGATTTTTTCATCCCCTAAGCGGAAATCATCAAGATAATCTCGGGTTATTTTATCCCCTAATAAAGCTAAATCCCTCGGAAGGTCATTGAACAACCTTCCAGAGCATCAATCTGCTCACCGGCCCATCATTAATTAGAAAATCAATATTAGACCTATTAAATACTCGTCAACGCTTACCAAGTGCCTTTGCTGGTTGAAGATGGTCTCTGGGCGGCACAGGAACTTGTTCAGCGTGGTCCTGAGGTTGTCCAGGAAAGGTGTCACCTCGAGGATGCACGTGAGATCGGGCAGTGGAGACCTTTGCGTTGGCACCACGGGCGGCTCCGTGCCCTCAGTCTGCGTGTACGTCTCGCCGGACACGAATATGCGCTCCCCATTCGCTTGCCGGCATTTTCCCGGCGCAATCTGACCGGGGCGGATGACGATGTGATCGCCGCGGACGAGAAGCGCCCACGGCAGGTTCACGACTTTGCCATCGCGAATGGTTGTTTGCAGAGTGACGCAGGGCGAGAGCGGTGAGCAGAGATGCGGATAGTTGGTCGGAGTCCACTTGTGGCAGCTGGAAGTGGCCAGGCGAATGACATCAGCGACATCGGCGACTTTCCTGAACATCTCCGATCGCTTGAGATTGTTCTCGCGGATCACGAGCCAAATATTGACGAACAGGAGCGCCAGCACGAGGCCAGCAGCTAGAAAATGTCCCGCAATCAGGAGCAGGATGATGGCGAAAAAGGAAGTGAAAATGGCAAAAGAATGCAGCGGAGTTCCTGCATTAAATGTGGCACGCAATTTCTCAGTCCATCTACAAAAGCAAAACAAACAAAGGGAGAGTGTGAATCCTTTGTCCTTCTCGCCTGTGTGAGAGTGTATTGGTCACCTCTCCCTGCTGAATCTGCCCTCGTACACTGTCAGGATGCCCTCGATCTCCTCGCGAAGGCGCGTTAGCGCCTCAGCAGTGGAGAGCCCGTGAATTTTGTTGTTATTCTCCAAATCCATCCTCGTGTCACAGCAAACTCCACACGGGTCAGATGCTACATCGCTTGGGGGACACACTGCGCTACTTCCTCACCAGCTGATCCACCTGCAGCACCCGGAAATCCCGTGAAAATGCAGGTGCTCACAAAACACAACTCCTTCACAACGAGAGGCTGTCAAGCGAACCAAACGAATAGCCGCCAAGCCTATTGGCCGACTTATTGGAATATTCAAAAACCTTTGGACCTAACGGTTACTCACTCCTCTTCAATCTCTGCGTTCGCAAAAAAAAACTCTGTTAAATTGTATTGATAAGAGAATGCGCTGATAAGCATACCCACGAAGCAACGTGTCTAACACTTAACCATATCCTTCGTGGGACATCGAGGTTACCTTTACTGCCTCTCGCGAGCTGGAAGAAATAAACAAGAAGAAACAAATAAAGAACTCCCAGAAATATTTCTCAGCGTAAATGAAAAACCGAATGAATGTCATTATTAGTAAATTTTGAACTAAAATCTTTTATGCAGAGCCCTGTGAATGATTAATTCACGCATCTTTACTCCAATTCCATCCCATGCAAAGTAGTTTACATCTTTCTGTGAGCCAAATTGTGACTTCATATCGACCACGATTTTTTACTTGGGTTATGAGAAATTTAATTTCTGGTGAGCTGCAGTGAAAAAGGTGTAAAGACTCAGCCTAAATTTAATAATAATTTCCATGCGAGGATTCATTTTGATGATGAATTTTGCTCTGAAGCTCAATGCATAAAATATGAAAAATTCAACTCAAGTACTTCTGGCTAGAGATTTTTTTTCACAGACATAGGCAGATAATGCCGGAGAGATTATTCCAAAGTCGAGCGATTACGGTTGATAGTGATAGAGAAGCTTCTCTTTTGTTTGTGGTATAGAAAGCTCCGTAGCGGTGCCCTCAGCATTTGATCCCCTACAGAGAGACAATCAGTGGATGTTAAACCAGAGCCGTGAGTGGACGTGCTCTAGAAATCGTTCGCAGATCTCCTCCTAAGTCAAGTGCACACTCAGCTAATATTTGAGGAAATACACAGCCCGACACCACAGACAGAATGCTTGGTGAGTTTTGATGAAAATAAACAGGCTAAATTTACGCCTCGTAATACATATTCTCAGACATTATCAGTGATATCGCGCCATTTTTTTGTTGCGTCTCATTCTCGCAATTGAAAGCGATATATTTGTGCTCAATTACCAAGTGAAATCTTCCCAGCAACTCATTTGTGCTCTCCCAATCAAGATCTTTTCAGGTCTGTCCAGGCGAGAGTCAGTGTGAGCGTAGCGCTCGGGATTGGCGTGGTGGCAGCGACTTTTGGGTATTTCTACAGAAAGAAGTTGCTTGAATCTCCACCGCGAAGGTGAGTTTGTTTCTGAAAATTCGTTTCACGAAGAACATACATATCTAATAATTTCGAAAAGTGAATATTAGACCCATAAAACCTCTCATTTGACTACTCATCAACCCCTTAAGCTGTCCTTTTTGTCTTCTCGGCCTTTTGGACTTTATAACTGTGGTCTTTTGGAGCAATATTATAATGCAAACTCACTGAATGTTGCAGATGGATTCGTGTGGGAGAGCTCACAGATCTGATGATCTACCCAATTAAGTCCTGTGCAGGGATTTCTGTTAAGACTATCCAGTGCAGCGTCCTGGGATTGAAGGAGCGTGAGCACATGCGCGATCGCGTCTTCATGATCACTTCCCTTGAGGGTCAAGGAATTACTGCTCGCAGCCACCCGAAGATCGTGAAGATCCAGCCAAACTTCATTGCAGACCGAATGATTCTCTCAGCTCCTGGCCAGGAGGATATAGTCATTGATCTGCTTAAACTGAATCGGCGGGAGCGCGGAAAGTCTGTTGTGTGGGGAGAAACAGTCACCACCATCGATTGTGGCGATGATGTTGCCGCTTGGATCTCTAAATTCTTGCTCAATGATGATACTGGCTTCAGACTTGTCTACTATCCAGATGACTTCCCGACGCGTGACGCCTGGAGCAAGAAGAAGGACAAGAGGGAACTGGAGACACACGCTGGTGCTCTGCACGATGTCACGAGTTACATGCTGATGAACCAGGCATCCATTGATGATCTCAACACTAAACTCACTGAGCGAGTCACGAGCAGACAATTCAGACCCAATTTCCTTGTTAAGGGACCCAATGCTTATCTAGAGGACAAATGGGAGTGGATCAAAATTGGCAATGTGATCTTCAGAAACATTATGCTGTGCGGCAGGTGAGAATCCTTCAATTCCTCAGAAGAAATAGCTTGCTATATTGTAAATGTGATTGCTTTTCACCCCTCAGATGCATCTTGGTCAATATCAATCCAGAAACTGGCACCAGGAACCCGGATTTCGAGCCCCTGAAGACACTGAAATCGTACCGCGTGACCAGCGAGAACGTCAAGGATCCCATCTTGGGCATTCACTTGGGCATTCACACGTCTGGAACTATACTTCTGGGCGATCCCGTGTATATTGGCGCTACCCAAGAGACTCCATAGTATTTTCGCTCTGCAATAAATTCGATTCTGCCTGAAGCAAAGCGTAAATATGCCCCTGACCACGACTTGAGTGCGTGTATGTTGAATGAATGCGAGATAGTGGATGTGAGTCGAGTCTTAAACTCTCTTCGCCTTCAGTTCGCTCGCGGATTCCTGTGTGAGTGCTTCTACTGCGACTGCGGCTTTTCTGGATATTTCCCCAGTTTTCGTTTGTCGAAATTTCACGTCTACATTCCAAAAACCCCCAGACAGAATCCTCATGATGTCCAGTAAGTTTATTATCCTTTCTCATCTTGGACATTGCGTTCTTCAGGTTGGCGGCAATTCAGTGAAACTCCCTGTGATAATACAAGAAAAAAGCCTGATTGTGAGAGTGCGTTATCATCCGGTGAAAAAGTCTGATACGCTCAAGAGGTCTGACAATAAATAGCCAGAAGAACTCCTCCAGACTATCATTCCCGGGGTTGAGAAGCCACTTGGAACGGGCTTAAATTGCTCATCCATGATGTAAATGTCGATTTGATTGCCGGTCGACCTTGATTGATGTTTTGGATGCGAGCGTTTCACATTGTGACAATACATTTACGCACACTTAAGAAATTCTATCAACGCTTCGCCTAAACCCGGCTCACCAGCGCTTAAAGTGGCAAATTTCGGGGAAAGTTTTCGCTGGGCTCTCTTTGATTTTTTGCATACTGAAGTCGTGAAAGATTTCACAAAGTGCCATACAAACATTTTTTATGATAAGAGGTTCGTCAGATGCAGTGGCGTAGGTTTAATGACAGCCGGCTATTCCAGTATAAATGTTGGTCATCTTCATTGAGAAAGATTTTCTATAAATTTTCTTGGTTCTAGATGTGAGCGAATTAAAATAATTAGTGGAAGATTGAGATGTTTTATCTATCACCCACTCTATACTGACGATGTTGAATAAATTGAGAGCAAATACTTTTAATTAAGATTACAGAAAGTGATAAAGTGAAACTGCAGCTCGTCACGCGCAGTGATCAGGTGAAAAATAATGGGATTTTCTTACCTTTCTTGCAGAGTTCTTCAATACTGACCACAGCAAGGTGACTGTGGGTATCGCCATCGGTGTGGGAGTCGCTGCAGTGACGGCAGGATATTTCTACAAGCGCTGGGTGGAGAATTCTCCACCCTCGAGGTGGGTTCGCGTAGGAGAACTCTCGGATTTGGTGGTTTACCCAATAAAGTCCTGCGGCCCCGTTCGAACCAATGAGCTGGAGTGCAGCGTACTGGGCTTGGCAAAGGGCCACTTGAGAGATAGGGTGTTCATGATCATCACGCCCGAGGGGCAATTTATCACCGCCAGAGCCAGACCGAAATGTCTTCAAATTCAACCGCGATTCGAGGGCGATCGCATGATTCTATCAGCCCCGGGAATGCTGGACATTGAGGTGGATATGAAGCGTCTGTATGAGACAAAGCCTATTCGGGCCGTCGTGTGGGGCGAAACCGTGGATGCGGTGGATTGTGGTGAGGAGGTGGCCAGGTGGATCTCGAGGTTCCTCGTCAGTGAGGACATTGGGATGCGACTGGTCTTCTATCCCGCCACATTTCCTACTCGCAGTGTCCGGGAGAAGAACAGAGGTTTCCCGGATCTCACTGAAGTTGACTCTGGCGCCCTGCACGACGCCACAAGCTTTATGTTGATGAACGAGTCTTCCGTGGCGGAGTTGAACTCGCGTCTAAAGGATCCAGTCTCGCACATGCAATTTCGGCCCAATTTCATGGTTAAGGGACCCATTGAAGCCTTCGTTGAGGATAACTGGAAGTGGATAAGGATTGGCAATCATGCGGTATTCAGGAATGTCAAGCTTTGTGGAAGGTAAATCGGGGAGATTGTGAAGTTTCTCGACTTTGTTGAACTCCTCTTTGCCTTTCAGATGCATTCTGACCAATATCAATCCAGAGTCCGCACTGAGAAACCCAGATGGACAACCTTTGAAGACCCTCAAAGAGTACAGAATGGTGCCTGGTGCTGGGGAATCACCAATCCTGGGCATTCATCTGGGCGTTCGTGAGACCGGAAAGGTTTCCATTGGCGATACAGTTTATGTGGGCGAGAAGTAATCTTCCATATCCATTTTATACTTACCAACAGCACAAAATAGATGCCTTCTGACGAAATAATAAGCCAGAATATAGACATACTGGAATTATTACTTCACGGAATAGTAGATACTAAAGGAAATAGCTACAATAAACACAGCACCAACTCCGGCCAGAATAATTTTCTCCTTAAGAGATCGCAGCATCATGAAATTGAGGATCCGTGATGACTTTCCCAATTCCACATCCATTTGCTGAACCTAAAAGCAAGGGAAGTACATTGAATCCTTTATCAAGCCATATTCGCACAAGATTAACTCACCCTCGACCTGGATCTCTGGATTGTTTCTCTTTGTGAAGATAAATCCTGCAAAATGCTGTTTCCAAGGTTTTCAGTCTCCAGAACAATCCTGTAGCCTTCGTCTAAGTGCTTTCCCGTCCTCTCCAGGCGTTCAGAGTTGTCCAGAAGACGCCTCTTTGACTCATCTTGAATGCCAATGTCTGAAAAATCCTCGTCAGATTCAAGGTTGGCTGCGCCCAGAGTGGAATTCTTGCTCTTTATGAATTCCTGCTGTAGCCTCTTGAGCTCCACTTCGTAACAATTGACTCTACTAGTGAGTCCTGACCTCTGATCCGGAGGAGCTTCCCGGATTTCTAGGCTTATCTGTTCCAGCTGTGAAGACAACATAGTTTCAATATTTCGTCAAACTATGCCTCACAATAGTCCTTACCAACTCCCTGGCCTCTTCGCAGTTCGCTGTTATCCCCTGAATCAGTTCATTCCGTGTGCCTGGAAGAAGAAAGCCAGGAAAAGTGAGAAAACATGCCAAGAAAGTCTCTTCAATATGACACACTTTTGGGGGCAATATTGAGATGTGAAATCTGCGCTGTTATCTTTGCAATCAGTGCAGAATACTGTTGCTCGTAGTCCTCAATCAGGAGAGGCATTTTGCACACTTCGACGGCAAGGATTTTCCTGGGAAAAACTGCAGTTTTCCAGAGAGGAAAACACTCTGTCAAAACAACCCGAGCGCCATGCGGCGAATTGCGGCGAAGACGACAAGTGACAGCCGAAGAAAAGCGAAGTGATGAGAAATGGCCGACCGACGTCTTAAGTGGTTTTGTGGTTGTTGGAGTGGAAAAATGGTGTTTATTCTCCTGTTAGTCATCATTTCCCAGCTTTTCGCCACAAGTAAGTTCATCTTTAAGTCCTCGGGCTCATTTTCACATACAAATCTGTCCAGGAAGTGCAAGAAATGTCCAAAAATGTGGTGTAATAAGATTTGGTGTCTTGGTTGTTTTTGTCCTACAATCCACACACACCTCTTCTTTCTTCTTTTCCGTCTCGCGGACGAAAATAACACGGAAAAGAGCTATTTTGGAAGGCGACTCGCAGCCCGTCTCCTCTTATATCTTATCAGCGTCATGGGGACGCGCACTGATTAATTAGCTCCTCGACAGATACGCGAGAAAACTGCTTGTTTACACTTTCCGGACAAGGGGTTTCATGCCAAATGGGGGCGCCAGGGTGGAAGCTCGAGTCTACGGATACTCATACAGATAATGGGGAAACTGCCTCAGTATGTTATTAAAGTCAAATGCGCTCTCAAAATTGGAAATTAAACAAGGAATTTGATTGTTTACACTTCTTGTGACTTAAGAAGCTTCCCGGAAATCAAAGCTAAGAATCAAATGAGGCTTAAGCAAACCTGTAGAATACAAAGAAGTTTAGCACATATCGTAGAGATCCTTCCTGAATCATTCCTTACTCACTGTTGTTGCAAAGACTTTCGGAGCTGCAGGGAATACTTTAATCATTGAGAATGTCATCTAAATCTATGTCCTGAGGCGGAAGCAAGCATCTCAGGCCAGCCTGACAGATCCCTCAGATCCCAGTGGATATTTTCCCACCGTCCACAGTGGGCAAAAACTCGCTCCCGGTCTGCATAAATGTGCAGAGAATTCTCATGTCACATTCATGGTCGTCACGAGGAGGATCGAATTGATTGAATATGACGAAGATCGGTGGAATCTGGCGAGAAAGCCAAGTTGCACAGATATGGACAAGATTGGCGGTGGGCAGAGAAAAAAAGCCACCAGCCAGGCGATGTGCCGGAGATTATGCCACTGGAATTACTAATTGCATTTGAGCTTGGCTTTTTCCTTCATCTCACGTTCTTCCCATATGCGTGATTCAATTCCCGGCGCAACTGTTTTCCTTGGACGCACCACGGAATGCTCAAGAGTCCGGGCGAGTGATCTCTCTCTCTGGGGTGTGAGAAAGGCCGCCTAATTGGATTTATGGCACATCGCAATCGATAGCAATTTCCCAGAAAGTGCAGGCGAAGAAGAGTGTCAACAGTTGGAGACAAGATATCGCAGTGTCTTCTCTAGATACAATATCTCTTCCGACATCCTGTTTGTTTAGGCCGCAAACCATCATAAAATGCTCACCATTTGGTTGCCTCGGAGGATCACAGATAAATCCATCCTCAGAACACTCTATGAGTCCGAAATAGATCAGTAAAATACGGTATCAGCCTCAATTCTCATCATCAAAATTCCATTTTCAAATTTACAGTGCGAAGCAAAAAGACTGAGTCGAGTGCAAATACTTAGTGTACATATTTTTCTGCATATTAAATTTTTTAATCGACAGAGATTCATATTGAGATCTTCTAGTCAAGTCACTTTTTGAGAATTATAATTTGAAATTCACTTGACTCGTGTAAAATCTGCTGCACTGCACTGTTTATCGAGCATAAATTTTCGTGAATTGCTGAAACACTACAGAGAGATCACTCGAGACATTTGTAGAACGGTTCGAGAGATCATGTGCAAAAACTCGTCTCAATCAAGTCGGGGAATCAATAGGAAATTTACGATCGTTCACATCCGCAATCGTTGGAGAATTTCACACAACACATAACACACACACACGCACATTTTCCGGGTGAATCTCAGCTGTGTTTGTCAACCATGATCAGACACTAATTAGCGATTTTAATTGCATAATTTATGCTTGGGAATTACGAATGTTTTCACACGTTGAATGGTTATTAGATTTCGAGAAGAGCTCCGGGATGCGATTTGCGATCTGAAAATATTCCACAAGAAATGCCAGCAGACAGAAGAGTGCAAAAAGACTTGGAGAGCGAATGTATTTCTGTCTGGGTGTTATTTGGTCTTCTCTGCGTGAAAAATCATGGAAATATTTTTGATATCTGCTTAGGGTGATCTTGCCCTCAAGAGAGTGAAAGAGAATCTTAGGCAGAAGAGGAAAAAGGCGTAACGTAATAAATTTTCCCTGTTTTGCTCCGTCTTTGCCATATGATAATCAATGTGGAAGGCGCATAAGGTTCACCTTTCGTGCTCAAATTCAATATTCCTCAATGTTCAGTCGGGGAGATTTGTGTGATTTGCTGTGGTTTGGAGAAGGGGGAGCAGCGATGGGGGGCATCACGGGTGAAAAATAGAGAATAAGACTCTTGTGATCACCAGAAGTGATCATAAAGGAGAAGCATGGGGAATAAAGCGGGATGCAGAGGAGGAAAAATCTCTTTTAGCCTAAAAATTGGTTTTCAAAGTGAAAAACCTCCATAACGATCTCCATTGTCCATTGTCGATCTTCTCTCCTCTTCGCCCGTTTTGTTCTTTATTCGTGAACATAGGAAGATGGAGAAGAGGGAGAGATCAATGGAAAAAGAAGGCAAAAGACACTGTTGCTCACTCGCAACTGAGAAATTCGAGAAGGATAAAGATCTCTTCCAGACTCTCGCCTGAATGCTTGAATATATCGCCAAAAGAATATATGGTGGAGCGAAAGACGATTCTTACGCGTCCTTTTGTCGGGCAAAAAAGCACTACGTGTCATCACAAATTGGAATTGAATGCATTTCTCAGCGTCACATTGGCGAGAGATGTGGCTCACGGGATTTGGTGTTTGGAGGGCAGAAAAATGTGGAATTCATTAGTTTTGTCGCGGCTCCCGAGAGACGCTTTTTGTAGGTAATCCCGAAAAAAGGAGACGTGAAAGCGATAATAAGATTGGGCACGCAGGCATTCCGCACCGAATCGGGCCAGATTGCGCCGTGGAGTCGAGTTTCAGGCTTGCAATGGCATCAGCTTAAATGGGGCGGAATGTCACGTCTTGTCAGGGGACTTATAAAGTTTAGACTCAAAAAGTGGGAAAGATTTGGTTGAAAGTATTTCTCCAATTTCACCTCAAACACAAACAGGATCGCTTCTCCACGATTTAATGACTAATATATAAATGCAGCAATATTAAAAATGTGTTCTTTTGCGTATTTTATTGAATAAGCGAAAGGTTTTTTACGAGTTTTTTTGAACTCTAATTGCGTACGAAGCGGTTATAAAAAGTTTTTCATCTTAAATTTTTGGAAATAGGAACATTTTTCTTTGATAAAATTCCTGAGCGACCAAGTTTTTTTTGGTTTTAAAATTTATATCATTTGACTAAACTTAGAATCAACTTACCAAGCACAGAACAAGCCTATTTAATCTCTAATAGATTACGTCGCTCAAGTGAATGTTTGAGAATCTAAAACGCTCATTTGTCCAAAGCGTGATCTTCGACTTGAGAAGTGAATGATCTCCCAACAAAGCCCCGTGAAAGCCACAAAGTTGTACTGAAGATGAGTGTTTTTATCAGAATTTTATCGATATTTCATGTTGATTGTCAGGCGTTTTTTACGCCTCACCTCCAGAAAGACGCCTCAGTCCGCTGGGGAGCCGCAAAGAGACGTTGGAGAGGCTGAGAAGAGGGTATAGAAAAAAGAGAGAAGTTGGGTGTTACAAAAGGCAATCAGATTGAAATGTGGATACGTGCGGTGTGGGTAGGGGGGGCGAGATGCGGGCAAAAGGCGCGACCAAAAGGCAGACAATAACATTCTTAACACCTTAAAAGAAACACCAGGTTCTTTTGCCTTCTTTTCTGCATAAGCGATTTCCAATGAATTTCAATTTTTCTTCACACCATCCTCAAGCTGGGATCCTGGACACTCCATTGCTTTCATGGGTTCTTCTCTATTCCCTTTAGCCTTGTGTGCTGTCTCTCTTTTTTGCTCAGCATCTTACCTTTGGGTCGCTCATTGTATGATTTTTCGATGCAATGAACGATGAAGTGAGGAACAAAGGGATTTTGAGTCGGGGCAGAGATTTCAATGCACATGATTTTCTTTGGGGTTCTTTATGCCTTCAATAAAACTTCTCACTCCGAACTTATAAGGTTCTTCTCGATATTTATTGCTCGTGGTGTTATTCAACAATAAATTTTCATTACCTGCACACAGGGAATTTTTTCCTCCTTCTCTCTTCTCCATACACCTTTTCGCTTTGGTCGTACCCAAGCAGACAATATAGTATTTTATTATAATGTTCAACATGTGATTTTGGTTGAAGCGCAACTAATGTGGTGTGACATGAGAAGGAAGAAGGCAAGGTGTCTGATTTCATTCCTCGATTCTCAACTCGTTTTTTTCTCTCTCTCTCCATATTTCTTATATTATAGAAAGATTCTCAAAAGTCTCAGATTTTGGAAGATATAAATCCTCTCTTGGACACTGTTGTCATTGGTGACCATATCGAATGGATGTTGCTGTGAATATAGAGAAGATTAATTGCGATTTTAATTGAATGGAAGATCAAAGATCGAGACACGATTGAGAATTTATAATTTCACTTGATAATTCCCTCACTTGACATTCTATTCTCTGATCTGTGTGATCTTTAATCAATACGATGAGTCGCCATCAATTAATCATTTCAATTCACATCTGAGATTCTGCAAATTGTTGAGAATATTTACTGGTATTTTTCCAAGAATCTTTACTAACCTCAGAAGGTGAGCACTGATGTCATGTTTTTGGGATTCCCTTTGACAAGCACTGAATCTGTGGATAGCTAATGTATTCAAATTGTGGTGTAAAAATAATTGGATTCCCTTGGCAAGAGATGCATTCAACGAATTTCAATCCTGATGGATCTTTTCTTGTGCTTTTCATGGTGTCGCCAAAGGGTGATTAGGTTTGAGAAACCTGTTGATTCCTGCCACCTTTTCCCCCTTTTCGCGTGTGTGTGACACACGTGAATGTTTTCAATGCGTGCCATGCTACAAAGATGCAATTGTACAGTTGATGATAATTTGTATTCAAAAACAATCGCCTCTGTCCTCCTTTATTGGGGTGCAAAAGAACATGATGTTGCTGCGAAAATGAAGCAAAAGGAGAGACTGGCTACTTGAAAAGGGATTTCGAATGAGGTCTAGTTTGCGGCTGGAGTCCAGAAAGGAAGGTAGAGAGAGAGAAAGACAAGAATCATGTGGAGAAGAAGCACGAAAGAATTGTATGCCTTAAGAGTGTGTTGAGGAATTGTGTGATTTTTCTTGTGGCCTGAGCCTCTAAACTAAACAGTCTCACTCGAGCTTCCAATGGAAGTTGACTTGTTTTCGCTGCCGCTCACTTTTGACCAGTTTTCTGGGGGTAGAGAAGATGTGATGGAGAGCACTCTTGTGGGTTATTTTTAGTGAATCTTCTGCCTTTGACATCATCCTTGGCTCTGATCTTGAGTGAATTTGTGATAAGTGATAAAGAAATTTGATCTTGAGAGACACGCTAATGCTCAATCGTAAATCTTTCGTGTGATTTATCGCTGTTGAGGTGTTGCTACAAGACAAGACCCCCAATTGGAGGTCCCACAAATAGTAGAGAAATATTGATGAAATTTATGAGATTTTCTGGGGTTTGAGAAGAAAAAAGAGAGGTTGTTTGGGAGAAAAAGAAGTGAATTGAAACAGGTTTCAAGAGATTCAAAACCCCATGTGAAATAAAAGTGTGAAAATAAGAAGGAAAGAGAAGACTTTTTAAACACTCCTATTGAAGAATCTTCAGCGTGGTTTTTTGTGGGACACACATATATAATATTTGGTGGCTTAGAGACCAGCAGGAAAGATCTTCTCTCGAGTGAGTGAGTGAGTGAGAGAGACCTTTTATATTTTGAGTAAAAATCTCCGTATAGTGCGCAAACATTTGTGAAACCCAGACATGGCGCCAAAATCGAGAAAGAAGAAGGCACATGGTAAATATTCATATAACCAAAATGAAAACACATTTCTCGTTATTTTTTTATTACTTTTTCTCCACCCGAAACTTCTTTTTCAAACCGTTTGAACACTGTATGAAGTCGGTTTTTTCATGGGTGTGGAAGACATAGGAAAAACTTCAATGGTCAGTGAACGAGATAAATTAGTGAAGAGAAAATCACGAAGAATGTCCCTTAAAGAGACAAGATCACTCGTTTTAAATAAATGAAGAAAGCCGAATAAAATATGGTTTCCAAAAGTGCAGAGGCGCGCTGTGATGGAAAATTATGGGATAGAATTTCCAAAGAGGTGCCCACACACTTTAAAGCGTTTACTAATGATTGGGGAATGATTGAGAAGAGGTGGAAGATCATCAAATTGAATTATAATTTTGGGTGCTACTTGATTACAAAGCGGCAAACAAGACAAATTACATCCGCATCGTGTGTCTCGATTAAATTACAATAATATGAAGAGTTTAACTCCTTTATTATATCGCACTTTTTTCTTCTGTCGCTCATTCAGCACTTTTCCATCCACTCGTGAGATCATTTACGCTTAACGGAGGCTGAATGGGAGAAGGAAAAGAGTGTGTAGTGAATTGGTGGGATGGCAAGAGACTTTGTAGAGTGCTTATTAAAGCAGTTGCTTAGAAACTAGAAAATTCATATTCTGGGTTATGTTGCTGAAAATATTTGTATTTATAATGACTATTTGGTTTTATTTGCAAATTTGCCATTGAGATTGTATATTTTTACAATCTGCAATAAATTAAGAAAAGAAATGTTACAATTTTTTATAACACACAGACAATTATTACGGTGAGATTGATTACACAACTGCTTCTCAACGCACGTGTTAGAGCACGATATTCTCGAAATAATAATACCCCTATTAATATTCAGTGGCAATTAGAAGGTGAACAAGTTGGCATTTTTGCCGACACTTCTACTCCAAATCGTTTAGTTACCCCTCGCTATTCCATACACTCTTAACTGCTTACGTTGGCTTGTCTGAATGATTTTCGATGCAATTTTTCATGCAGCGCACCTTGTATGACAAAATGCATAAATTACCAAAGTGATTGACACTTTCTTGTGCAATGGCACAGTCCCTGCTGAAAATATTCCACTCACCGCAGACTATTTTTGGCCTCAACCTCCATCCCGCGCGTTGTGTGCTTCCCAAAAATAGCACCGAGAAGAGGAAAAAAAAAACGAGGAGAAGGCACGGATGATAAATAAAAGCTGAGAAATGATCAGTGATATGTTTTGAATACTGTCTTGTTATTAATTATTCTAAAAGTGTTTTTGGAGATCTTCTCATATTAGTCTTGCTAACGCGCGCTGAACGGTATAAAAGAGCTTTGGGAAGACGAAGAAAAAAAGGCCAAGGAGAAGTAATGTGAATTTATGTGAAAATAAAATCTTTATAGGCTTTTCGCGAAAATTTATTGTAATATCCCCGCAGCATAAGTCATAAAGTTGTGGGAAAATTGATTATTCAATTAGATTAAGTGATTAAATGGGGAGCAGATGAGAAGTGTTCGAGGAAACCACTAAAGCGAATGGTAAACTACCTGAAAAGTGTCTCAAAAGACAGTTTAAGTGTCTGTTTATGGTTACAGGCAGACGGAAAATGCCATGGGATTAGTTTAATGGATTCTCTTGACCTTTCTTTGGGGTGATATTTTGCAAAAATAGTTTTCACTGTGCAAGTGTTATAGAAAATACCGCGTGGTTGTAATAATTCATCCAAAGACTGTAGTTTATCTATGGTTGATGAATGTGCATAGGAGTTTTCTTGCATAGAGAATTTCTGTGTGGGGTGCACAAGAAGGTGGAGATTGGAGAGGAGGGAAAAGAAAATAAATAGCGCAATGCATAATTGTAATGTATGCTTTATGTAGTAACGGGCGAAGGAAAAATATACACACATGGTTTTTGTGTATTTTTTCCCGCCCAAAGCACCACTGCCTTCCTATTTGTAGTGGAGATTACATTGGAGGTGTTTAGGAGTTTCTTCAATTAATATAAACATCCGATTCATCTCGCCTTTCTCTGTTGCCCACTAATAATATTTTGACTGTGGAGGGGAAGTTTTACTTGTGAGTGAAAGAGAGGTGGATAATTTCTCTTTTTCTCTAGATATTTACTTTATCTCCAATACCAACAGCGTTTGATATTTATTTTTATTTAATTTGGGGCATCAAAATAAATGCTCTCACAGATTGTACACATTGCCAATTACAATTTCAAATTTACATTCGTCTTATTTGCAGCGAAAGGACTTCAGTGCTACTGCGAAGGACATTGTCCGGACTTCAGGAACAATGGCACATGCGAGGCTCGTCCTGGTGGATCCTGCTTCAGTGTGGTGAAGAGTTACAGAGATGAGAATCATGAGTTGGTGTCTGAGTTTGCCTTCGGATGCATGTCACCCGAGCAAAGTGGGGGACTTCTGCAGGTAATTTGGCGCCTCTTAATCTTATCGGGCAAATTTTTATTAATTTTCATTTCTATTCTGAGTGACTGCTAAAGATATTGAGCGCGTTCAAAGAGTGGTTTTATGGATCAATATTAGTTGTAATTGACAATTTTATCAAGCCTTCACTCACTTTCCGTATATCAATGCGACACCTTTGTGAGTTTATCGTATGAGAAAATTAAACATTTCTCAAGCGTGGATGTCAATATATGTTGAATTTTACAATGAGCACAGGGTGTACAGTAACTATCGAATCAACACATACTTTGCGATGAGAACAATGAAATTGAATGGCGAATTGGCTTGAAAGACTGTTCTCAAATCGCACAAATTTGCCGCGATCAGCAATATCTTTCATACGCGCGTGCACCCTGTGAATCTCTCAGTGCAACTTTTCCGAATATAGAGAATTTATGCATTTATCTTCTGTGCCAAAAATGGTATTTATGCAGAAAACAACCCACCGATTCCCTTCTCTTTCTCTGCAGTGCAAAGTGGCCACAGCAGCACATCTGCATGGAACGAATATCCTTTGCTGTGATCATGAGGACTTTTGCAACAGGGATCTCATTCCCGAGGACACACCGCGAACAACAGAGCCTCCAATGCCAGTGGCTCCTGGTGCACAGATTCCCATATTCACTATTGTGATCCTGGTGAGCTCACTTGTGATGATGCTATTGCTTGTCATCCTGCTGGCGCTGTGCATTCTCCATCGGCGACGCGACAGGCGACGGAAGAAGCACTGTTTGGTAGAATCTTCATATGGAAATCAGATCTCACCGCATATATCTGATTTGGTGGTGGACCAGAGCTCTGGATCGGGAAGTGGATTGCCGTTGCTGGTGCAGAGGACCATTGCGAAGCAGGTGCAGATGTTGCACAGTGTTGGCAAAGGGCGATATGGCGAGGTTTGGTTGGCAAAGTGGCGCGACGAGAGGGTGGCGGTGAAGGTGTTCTTCACTACCGAGGAAGCCAGTTGGTTCCGTGAGACGGAAATCTATCAAACGGTACTGATGAGGCATGAGAACATCCTGGGATTCATTGCGGCTGACATCAAGGGAACGGGAAGTTGGACACAAATGCTGCTGATCACGGATTATCATGAAATGGGAAGTTTGCATGATTTCCTACAGCGAAAGGTTTTGAATACGGAAATGTTGCGCAATTTGGCTCTGTCGCTGGCCTCAGGAATCGCTCATCTGCACACTCACATCCTTGGCACGCCTGGGAAGCCCGCAATTTCCCATCGGGATATAAAGAGCAAGAATATCCTCGTGAAGCGCAATGGACAGTGTGCGATCGCTGACTTCGGACTGGCCGTAATGTACAACAGCGAATTGGATGAGATTTGCATTGCGAAGAACACGAGGGTGGGAACGAGACGATACATGGCGCCGGAAGTGCTCAATCAGACGCTCAATGCAACGCAATTCGAGGCCTTCAAGATGGCAGACATGTACAGTGTTGGCCTGGTGTTTTGGGAGATGGCCAGGCGGTGTATCACCACAATTAAGGGCACGAAGAACACCACCTGCGAAGACTACGCCCTGCCTTATCATGATGTTGTGCCAAACGATCCGAGTTTCGAGGATATGCACGCTGTGGTGTGCGTGAAAGCCATCCGGCCACCTGTGCCGGCGCGCTGGCAAGACGAGGAGATCCTCAGCGTGTTGGCCAAGATCATGCAAGAGTGCTGGCACGCGAATCCCGCCGTGAGACTCACGGCGTTACGCGTGAAGAAGACCCTGTGCAAGCTTGAGGAGGACTTCAGCAGCATCAAGAAGTCCGATCAGTACTTTGTATAGTAAGTGAGTTCTCTCAGTGTTTGTATTTATAGTATTTAACTAATTGCTCTCTTACGATCTTTTTACAGGCTCTTTGGCAGCTATGTAGCTTAATACCCGAAGCTCCCCCGTCTTCCGGGAGAGAAAGACAGACAGACTTTGAGTGTCCCGGATGCATTTGATTGTGATTTTTCACAAGAAAAAACATCAAGAAAAACGTACTGATTTGCTGATGAAACAGCCTCCCCTCCTCGCTTCGATGTACAAATAATAATTTAACATCCAACCTTAATGTTCCTCGCAATGAGGAATGATGGCGATTTATTTAAGGACAAATTACTCTTAGTCGATTAATTATATTAATTCACCCCTTGAATCCCCGCAACTAATTAACAGGAGTATAAATAGACATTAAGAAGAATTGATTTTAATAGAAAAGGGAATTACAATGATAGGCTTTTAGGGAGGGAAAAGAAAAGAAAATTGTTAAGAAATTGTACAGTCTTGTTTTGGGTGCTTCAAGTGTAGATTTCTCGTTGAATTTCGTCCATCAAGTCTTTTGTGAAGCGCGAATTTCACTCACAAATTGTTCAGAGAAGACAATAACATGCAAAAGAACTTTAAGTGCTTTAGCGACTTTCTGTGATGCTTCGTGTGAGAGAATGGCGCTTAAATAGATGACACAAAATCAGGAGAAGGAAACAATTCAGCGAGATATTAGAATAATATATTTTTATAGTGAAACTATATGACGCGAAAGAAACCTTATATACTTATAAGATGGTTTTACGATTGGCGTAGGATTTTAACTATGTTCTCTCCTTTAGATTTATTTACACAAGATGAAGAAATTGCCTATAATTATGAGACATGAGATATAATCGTATTAACTGACCTCTAGAATAGCAGTGAATAATTTGGAGATGAAGAAATAAAGTGGTAAGAAGAGATAAACAAGCAAATGTTTGGCCATTTGAGGGACACAGTGAAGAGCAGACATTTTTGGCGTCTCGCTAAGACAAACATCGGCGCTGAGATGAGAAAACAACCACTCGTGAGATTATATAAAATTCTGCCACAATAATCAAGAGATTGGTAACTAATTTGCGTCAGCAGACTTTTAAAAATAAATAAATCATATTCTGCGACATAGAAGAACCGCAGGGGCGGGGAAGTGTGACAATTTTGTGGATCTACGACGCCAGGAATTGACACCAGATAGAGTGTGTCAGTGAGAATGCAATCGTAAGTACGAATGGTGTCTCAATTAAATTCACTATTCTTGATTGCTTCGGTGAGACCGTTTCTCTGGCCAGAGAATTGATGGCAGGATAAAAGTACATTTATTAAACTATGAAATTAACAGAAAAAACCGTGGCGTTTTCCAAACTCATGCAAACAGGGGTACTCGATGGCACAGCCTGTGCCGTAATTTAAAAGACCCCCTCTTGAGTGTCCACGTGAGCCGCTCAGCATAATTCTATGTGCGTCGAGGTGGGCAAAAAATCCCCGTGTGGAAAACCACTGTAATGGCTCGTTTTCTCCGTGAGAAAGCAACAATATGAAAAATTCTTCAACTCTTGGCCCAGAAATATCGTGGCAGAAACATTTCTCTGTCAATGACTCAATAATTCACAAAAATGTCTCTCGAGAGCGACTGAAAGAAGTGTTTTGGATAGAATTGTGTAACACTTTTCACGGGGCCTATTTTTAGGTGTGCTGTTTGGAGCGCACACTTTGCAGATTTTTGACCTTAAAACCCGCACGGCAAGGAAACACCATTTTCCACGATCTAATTGGCACCTTTGATCTCATGCCGAGTCACGGAAGACTTGGTGACAGTGATTGACCACTTCTTCTCGCCCAAGGGTGCGTGATTGTGAATGTGATTTCCCTTCGGTGCTGAATCACATTAAAACAGCCCCTCAATCGAGCTCACAGCTAAAGCAATTTCCTCAATTTACTCAATGTGACTCGAGATTATTAGATTTCCACCACCAGGCTGACAACTCACTTAATCGCGTTTGGATTCGGAGGGAAAATATGGAAATTGTGAGAAAGTGTTTCTCGGAAGAAAGGCTTCTTGTTAAGGAAGATATTTTCAAGTACCGGATACTATTATGCTATACCAATCTCATGAAGCCCAAATCTTCACATGTCTTCTTCCAAAAATGAGTCAACACGACGTTCAAAGAGTGGAAATTTGAGACGGTCTTGAAACTATGGACATCACTAAATCTTTATTAAATCATAAATGAGTATTTCTAGGTTTGTTCAATTGTCTTAAAACAATTAATTTGTCGAATTTTCTGCTACTTGGATTAGCACGCTTTTCCGTTATTTGTCTATTTAAAAAAAAAAACCAATTCTATCAAAATAACAGCAAAGAAATATTCTTCTATTAATAGAGCGCCATAAATCAGTGGGAAAAACATAAAATTACCTAAATTCCTCATTTATCCGCCTTCCAAATCTATCGTGCAGCATATGCTGCATCAGGTGCGACTCTGCCTTTCCTCCACTCTTTTCTCTGGGCAATAAATCACTCAAGGAGGCACTGAATGGAGTCGTATGGAATGAATGGAGTGAGTGTAGTGAGCGGTCGTGCAACAGGAGCAGAAAACCACAAAGGTGCCAATGACTCGACCGTCTCGCCAGGTAAATTTCCCACCTCCGCTAATTTTAAACTCCCCGCCCGAGGAGGATTTTGGTTTTGTTATAGTCGGTTATAAAAGATGTTGGAAAATATGCCGACACACTCAATGGGATTCCACTTTGGCGTGCGAAAAATATTTTTGGAAGAGATCCTCTCCAATGTCTGTGTGAGGCAATTGAGGAAGAAGCTCTTGGAGAGCTCCTCTGGGTGTGGGTGAGGGGCTCAATGGGCCACACAGTGGAGCTTCACGGAAAATTGCGAGCGTATTCAGTGGTATAAAAGATGAGGACTGGTATTTTTGGTCAGTGTCTCTCTGAGCGGCAGTCAGTTACAAACCGACAATCAAAATGGTAAAGTCAGGACTCTCGTCCACATAGTGATTATCTAGCGAGCGATCTGATTTCGTGTCCTGCGCACCACAAATTGATCTTCACACACAGGATTAGCCGAAAAGTGATCTCTCAAAGTGACTAAAAATGATCAGTAGGAATCCTCCAAATAAGAACATCGCGTCGACCCACACCTCTGCCTATAATTAATACGCGCGAAAAAATGTTTTCCACCGAAAATCGTTGAAATTTATGGGACTCGGTGGAATTTGACGCAATGGTGGCGAAAAACTTAGAAATACCCACGATGACAAACACTTCCAGTTGTGAGATCGCGCATTCAAGGATTTGTAGAAAATTGCGCAGAAGTTTTTCACTCATGCCCACATTCTTTCAATGGGCCTTTGATTCGCGGGAAATAAAGTGTGAAAAGTGTAATGAGAGGAACCTGTAATGAGAATCATTTCGCTGATCATGTGAAGATCATGCGCAGTAGCCAATCATGGAAAAGCATAGATTTGCTGAATTGATGATCGCAAATTAGATTTGCTTTTTTATATAAAAAAAAAATCTTGAATTCTCCTCCAAAGCTGAGATTTTTTTTTTCAATTCTTCCAGGATGACGATCAGAAAATGGATATCATCAGGAAGGCTTTCCAGATGTTCGACACCCAGAAATCTGGCTTCATCGACACTTTGAAGATATCCACAATTCTCACGTCCATGGGCCAGCCTTACGATAAGACGGAGCTGCAGACACTCATCTCGGATAATGATCCTGATCGTAAGCACTCTTCAATATCCCGGCAGATCGGGCTGACCACTAAAGTTTTAATTTCACTTTTAGAGACCGGAAAGGTGAACTTTGACGGTTTCGCGCGCATCGCCGGTCACTTCCTGGAGGAAGAGGACGCCGAGGCGATGCAGCAGGAACTGAAGGAGGCCTTCAGGCTGTACGATCGCGAGGGTAACGGCTACATCACCACCAGCACCCTAAAGGAGATCCTCGCTGCCCTCGACGATAAGCTCTCCAATGCTGATTTGGATGGCATCATCGCAGAAATCGACACTGACGGCTCCGGAACGGTCGATTTTGATGGTAAAAGCCCCGCAAGAAATTCAATTTAATGCTCCCCATCTAAAACCATTTCTCTCTGCAGAATTCATGGAAATGATGACTGGAGACTAAGTTAAAAGCATCCACCATCGCGAGAGAGCATTTTCAGGTGTATTATCAAATGAAATTTATAATTTCACACTAATTAATTTACTGTAAATAAAGTGGTTTTCCGCGACGGAATTATTCATAGCTCGATGGGGATGCCAGGTAAAAGCTCTGCGAGCTGATGGGCTCAATTTCATCTCGTGGGCGAGTGAGTGTGGCCGAATGGCCCAATAAAAATTCCTCAGGATAAATAATTGATGAACCATACGATGCGTGACTCCTCCACTCTCTGTTCCGGCTAATGACTCAGATTCCTCAGGATGCGCCTCACGACGCTCTTGCCTCCCAATTGTGCTCCACTTTTGCACAGTGTCACTGAACTACTTTCCCCGTTTTTCGCAAGGGCTTCCCCAACAGTTTCCCTGCGACTCTCTCTCGCCAGTCTCTGGCATAGTTTCGGCGCCGAGGGGCCAAAGGATGTTGATAAAATTTACGCATCTTCTGCTTAGTACCTTCTGAGATTCTGATATATTCTCCATTTGTCACCTGAACTGGGAAACTTTCCACGCTGATTTAACTGCGTTCGTGAATCTGTTAAATTCTACGTCGTCTTCTCTTGAAATCATACTTTGAGATTGGAGTAAAAAGCTTCTAATTTAAGACGTATATGTATACGCACATATACACATTGACCACATACAGATCTGAATAAGTTTTATCTCAGGACCTTTCTTAAGCTGATAGTTTAAATGCAAGGCAATATCATTGGCCAAAAATGCCAAAAAAGCATAGCTCGAGGGATTTCCGTACTTTAAACCCCAATGAAGGCTAAATCGGAATTAATGGACTGGCTATAATCGTGCTAGATAATATATATTTGCCAGAGCGAATGAACAACTTTCCCCTTCTAACTGTTAATTTCTCAGCAACCCTCTTGGAGGCATTAACATGGGATTATGAGATTAACCCAAATGGCAAACTTCAGCACAGCCTGCGGCCCCTTGGCTCTCCCCCTTCTCAGCAGCCAGAGAGAGAGAGAGAAACGTGGGAGCTTTGCGAGCTTGACATATTTATGAAATTACATCGATTTTCCCCTCCTCGGGGCGACTCTCTCTCTCTCTCTCTCGGCGAATCCTTCTTCCTCAGCCGCGAGAACAGGCCAGTCTCTTCCACTTGGCGAGAGAGTGCGGAGCTCGTGTCTCTGTCTGGCGGAGTATCTGGTGCAGTTGCACCACTTTTTGGCCAGGATCTTCCTGGATCTGGCCACAGTCACGAGGAATCGCCTCGCGAGTGTTTGCTGCGGGTAGTGGAGAGTGCTTGAAAATGGTGCCAAGGTACAGTAACCTTTTATCCAAACGACCAATACGGATGGAGTTATCGATTTATGAGCCTCCGCGCGAAGACAATGGGGAGGCTTTGTTGGGGCGAAGGCAGAAAAAACCCCGTTTGCCTTGCCACACACAGTCAGCATGAGAGGAGCGCAATAATAATTCTGTTTATTATTTATCACCACTTTCTGTTGCTTCGCCATGGGCCATGTTATCTTGGGGGCCGCCCTCAAACCACCTACTCTATGGTATTCCCACTTCTTGGCCTTTTCCCACGCCAGAGCGGAAAAGTGATGCATAATGGAGAGGCTCGAGTGTGTTTCCATAGTGAAAAATACAGCAATTTCTGGCTGTTTTCCTCTCCGGAAGTGGTGACGTCAATCCGAGAGAATTCCCACCGTCTTGTCTCTCTCCCAACCGCCCTCCTAACGTGCGTGTTTTTGAACTTGTTGACTGGAATGGGGGGCAGCGCGCGCTCTATTTCTGTCCACCCTCACAAGTGCAAACAATTCTCTAATTTCCACGGCAAGTCTCACACCCACAACACCATCCCGGAGAAAGAGAGCGGCTCTCTGCCAAGATGGTCAATGGGAAATTGTGCCAAGATTGGAATTGCAAAGTCAGCGAAAAGTGGAGCAACTTTCGCTGAGGATTTCCCAGGGTGGGAGAATGGAAATTATTCCATCAGTGAAATTGCAGGCCGCTAGGCAAGTTCAAGACTTTGCAAGTGTAATCACAGAATGATTGCAAGTGATGGAGCGCATTTTCAACTTCATTCATTCATAAACATTTTCCGTATAGAAGAATAAAAAGTTAAGCAATATTTCATTTGAGTCAAGTTGTGCTGCAAATTGAGTGGTGGTAACTTTGTGAAATACAATTCTCTTGTTTGCTCTTGATCTAATAGAGAGAGAATGGCACAATTGAAGTGATTCAAAAGTTTACAGGCACGAGTTTGAAAATAGGATCTGAAGTATTTGCATTGAGTTTTTCATTCAATTTACAAAAGAAGCGGTGTTTTAGAAAAGTGTCATTGAAAAATGAATCATTCTAAAGCATGCCAAATAAACATATTAACTTGAAAAGCTTTGCAAGAACCTCCTAAACTAGTACGAACGAATTCATGTTCTACGCCTTAAGATTCCATATCAATTGCCTCATTCTGTAATTTCTCATATTTCCATTCTTTACCCATTTTGTATAATTTTATGCAAATTTCTCTTTCAACGCTGAACTTTAATAACGCTCGATAGAAAGAGCACTGAACGTCATTTTCAACCCTTTTCATCAAGAAAAATGAAAATTCCAGATTCTCACTCAAAGATATGCAATAAAAATGCCCCGGAAAATATCTCCCATCATAATTTTCTCCCCATTTTCCCAGTATAAACATAATCGAGCATCGAGAGTTCGCACATCTCATTATGTGAAGTCGTGCGAATTCCAGCTTTTGCACATTTTTTCCACTGGAATGACGAGAACGATGGTGAAGAAGGGACGAAACCACACAAAGGTTTTCTGCTCGTTGGAAATGTGAAAATTTTCAACGCTGTTGTCCTTTTGTAGTGATAAAAAATTTTGCAAAGGCTTGAGGTGCAATTTCATCAGGTGCAAATGGAAAATGTCATCAGCATGCAATAAAATTTCAATTCAGATCTCCTCTATCTGGCGAGGGTGCCTTTTAAATAGCATGTGACGGAGAAGGAGGTGTTTTGTGTTTAAAAATACCAGACGCTTCCAATGCACATCACATTTTCCAATTAACCCATCTCACCTTTCGTCGTCACACTTTCTCACATTCACACTCGCCTCTTCTTCCAGAATGCCGTGACGCCCATTTGAAAAGGATGAAAGTGCAACCAAAACTATCAGTATCGCACTTTTGGATTGTGAGTATCACTGAAGACTCTGTTGAATGTTTATGACAATAAATCTCGGGCAAAAATACAAATTTTCCCTCTTTTAATTGCAAACTTCTTATCTCAAAACCCTTCTCAGAATTAATCTTCCCGGCACGTTTTCGCGAATATTTATTTTACTCGTTCCAACACTGCTTCTCGTGGTGGGTCAATTAATGCAGAGAAAATATTTTCTCGTCCATTTCCGGGGGCTGAAGCAATATCAGTCCACTTGCTCCCTTAATGGATTTAACCTACTTTTCACCGTTAATTTTCAACCGTGTTTCGCTTTCCTGGAAAATTTGTAGGGTGAGCAAATAGTTGCGGAGGGAATTTAGATAGGAAAACTTTCCTAAACCCTTTAGTTGAATGGCGCTTTTGCCATTTAAAATGAAAAGTTTTATTTTCTTGCACAAAAGCTCATGATTCAGCTTAAAAGTAGTTTCATTGAGTTTGTGGGTTTCTCGTGACGACATAAAGCCTGTTCGTACAGTTCAGAAATTATTTGTAGAGACACAACTTTTGTATATTCAGTACTGCCATTATTGCTAATGATTTTTTTGTATAAATGAGCGTTTCATCTAATTATGCTAACTTTTAATTTAAAAACACACAATGTTAAATTTTGCATTTACATCATAAAATACTATAGAATCACTAATTTTAAAGTTTTTCTTGTTTAAAGCTTTGGATAAACAGATTAAAAAAGTTTTCCTTGGTCCGTATCTGGATAGAATATATCAACAATTAAGAAATCAGAATAGAAGCATACTCAATCCCAAAAAAGAAGCGGTTTTGGCACATGTTTTCTCACTTCTGTTCACCACTATATTACAGTTCTGCTTAATGCGCAAAATAATCCGCCACTGTTACACTTGAAAAACTGTGAGATTAAACTTCCGGCGAGCGCCTGAAATAGCTGAATCTCTCATGCAATTTTCAGATTACACTCTGGTGTGGTTTTGGCCTTGTCGTCTTTGGAACGTTTGCCGTGATTTCTTGCTGGATTCGAAGATGCAGGTAAGAATTGGGCACTTGGGTGGACTCCAAAACATACTGAGTGAGTGTGCGTGGGTATTGATTCGAGAATACTGGGTAAAACTGGCACGCTAAATTGGAGACAACGATTGGATGGGAAAGGGAGTCCATAGAAAAGAGTAACTTATTGGATTTGCCAGGCAAAGTCCCTGAAAAATGTATGATGGGGGCACGTTTTCTCCCCATTCTGCCCACGTGCACAGTCCATTTCCGTGGCGCAACGAATTGGAATTCGAGCGACGAAAGAAAATGCACTGCTGTGCAGTCATTTCAACCGGAGTGGGTGTGAGAAAAGATGTGTGATTGAGAGCCTCCTGTTTGGTGTCTTTTTACCAATATCCATGAGAGATGTTAATGGTGACTTTGCACTGTATTTCCCGTTAAAGGACACAACATCCAATTCACAGGCACGATCAGTCACGCTCATTGTGTGCAAAACACTCAGTTCAGTGTTCAAGAGCAGTCGCAAGATTATCTATCGCGTGTGTGAAGTCACTAGTGTTAAGAAACCATTGAAAATGTTCAATCTCTATTCAACAATGAATCGCCGCAATGACGACAAGGAGGAGAAAGAAATTCAAACTACAGGACATGATCGATTCTGTCAGGCACGGCCGTCGAGGTAACGCTTTTCTTCAATTATTCACCAAACTTCCTATTTATATCTTTCCTCTACTCCTTCCCCACGTCACCCGCTCCTTTTTGGCGCCAAGGAATCCGCATAACTTTCTCTGTATCTTGTCGAAATTCTCCCCATTTCAACACTTTATTGGTGTCTCTTGTCGGTAAAAATGTGTGTTGGATTTGCCGTGAAACCCTCAGATAGAGAGATGATGTGAATTGACGAAATTGTGGAAGAAGATATAAATGAGTGGGAACAACAAAGAAAATGATTTTCCCGTTGGCTACAAATTTCAGTATCCAAAGTAAAAAAAAAGACATTTTTCAAGGGACTATACAATTGATTGCGATTTAACTTTTAAGTATCCATACTAAATTGGTCAATTGGTTATTCACGTAGCCAGATGAAGCTTTATTTTAGTACTGCAAAATTGTACAATCGTCTGTCTGTGCCCCAATTCCTCCTATTAAAATTCGCTGAAAATGCCGCTGTGTTGACGAAAAACACTCACGACCTCTCATTCTTCAAGGACTGATAAGCTTTTTGATAGTCATTTAGTTGGCAAAAGACCCTTTCAGCGTCTTCCTCGTGAAGAGGGTTGGAAAATATGTGTAAGACGAGAGTTCCCACATCGTTTGAGGGCAAAGTGTCGTCTTATCGCGATAAATTTCACATTATCTCTCCCTGCATGGGGCGTTCTCACCCTCTTTCTCCCCCACATCCTCGTCCTGCCCCCAACGAGTGAGTGTGTGAGTCTCTAAATGATGCCCATCTTCCTTTCGGTGGAACAAAAATTGAAAAAATACATATTAAACGAAATATCGAAAGATCGACGTATCGGAAGAAGCGGAAGAGACACGTGAGAAGAGCCCAATCAGCTGCAGAATTTGACTCTCAGGCCGTTTTCACAGCGAATAAGCGCCATTTATTCAGGTGAATGTCGCATGTTTTAAAAAGTTATCCAACAACCCTCCAAAACAGCTCCCCAGCCGATCGTTTCCCCCCCTCGTCATGTTGTAATGTTCGTAAATGTTATCTGTTTCTCTCTTTCTACCCTCTGGAAAAATCTCTCTCCCTCCCTGGTGGTGTTCTTTTGGGGAAAATGGAATGCCTCTGTTATGGTTGGGAACGCAAGTCGTGGCCGATCTGTGAGCACAGAACAGGAGAACTCAGAGTCTGAGCAATCGGAAAAGTCACCATTAGTCAGCACGAAGCTGGACTCACTAGCCAAATTGCTGTTCAGTAAGAGTTTCAAGCAGGACAATTCATCCGGCAGCAAAGTGACTGAATCACCGACAAGGTTTTCTCTTTTCTTTGCTTCTCGAGACATAATCATATCCTCTCTTTTTTAATCATTCTTCCTCGTCCTTGTCCGATGCTTTTTAGCAAAGTGGTTGAGAATTGAGTCATCGAGAAGTGGAGATATCAGTTCATGAGTGCAGAAAAAATTTAATGCACACTTTTACAGCCAAAATCACTCCAATTGGCAATGCGAATGTGACTGGAATTTAAAGGTCAGCCAATAAAAATTCAAAATCAAGTAAAAACACCCCCGCAACGCTGACCTTTGGCTTTCCATGCTGAGGAAGTGACCCCAAAAAAACTGCCAAAAGTCAGATGAAGAGCACAGGGCGAAAAAGTGACCGTTGGGATTTAACGCGAGTGGGTGTTTTTGAGGCTTACGACCCACTTCCGACGCTAGGAAATTTGGGGGAAAAGAGAGCATAAAGCCATAATTTCATATGAGCCAAATGTTGCACAAGACTCTGTCGTGGGCCATCAAGTAAAGTGTCTCCTAAATACCCCATAAAATCGCATTATTTGGCATGATTCGAGGGAGAGATGAGCCAATTTTGTGGGTACTCTTCGCTGTGCGCCATCCCTCTCGATGATTTATCACAACCACTTCATTGCATTTAATTTGTATGATACATTAATAGCCCCAATCTCTCATCTTCGTTCCTTTTGCTAGATTTGTCTGTATAGCCAGTTCTTTGGAGAGATTCAAACATTTTCAATGTGTTTCTTTCGTGAATGGTATTATGGACGTTTCTTTAACACCTCACTTTAGACGGAAGGAGAGTCTCTCTGGACATGTTTTACTGTGTATCTTAACCATATAGATTTATATGTATACCATTTAGATTTCAGCCAGACTTCTCAGAAGCAAGTCATAACTTTATATATCCATTTTGTCCTCTTAGGATAGTTTCTTGTTCATGTTGCTATATTTATTCATGGACTGCCTTATTGTTAACGAAAAAGACTATAAAAATCATAGTAAAAGATATTTTGTAGGAAAGAGGTAGAGAAATATAAGTTTTTAGTGATACTTTTCAACAAATCCTATTCAAAATCAAATATCAATCAACATATTCTGTCAAACATTCGGCCAATTCGCATTCGTGATTTTCTTGGTTTGATGTCGCGAAAAGTATCGCTGAATTCTAAATTCAACACTTGAATGTACAAAACTTCTTACACTATGTTTATAAATGTTTTATATTAGATGTTAAAACAAGTCATCATAGAAGCTCAAGAGACACTGAGCTTGAATGGAGTTCTGTGATTGCGACATTTGCCATGATAAAATGATATGATATGATATGATAAATGTGCATTTGTCTTAATTTGATGACTGAGGATTCGTAACTAACCTTGCATGATTGCTTCCTTTTGGGGTGGACGAAGGCACAGTGTCCTGAGGTATCAGTACACGGCGCTAGAGAGCGGGACCTGTGGCCAGGACAGAAGTCCGCGCGAGAGGGCGGCGAGGGAACAAGCGCTAGTAGCCAGTCAGACGTGGGTTCAGCAGTCCGGAGGACGCTACGAAGTCATCGTACATCTCGATGACATCGGATCGAGGACCAATAAACACTGGTTTCTGCTCAAAGATGCCACTGTGAGTGCGCTCTTCTGCATGCCAGGAAAGCCAATTGAGTATACTTAATGAACAGCAACTCTTTCTATTTCAAACAGGTTCGAACTGATCGCTTAATGACCCTGCTTCCAATACCTCCCGATTGCATTGCCTTGGAAGAACTGCCACCCTCCCAGTGTCTCAAGGGCGTCTTCATGGAGTTGCTGGGATCCCTGCAACATCCCTACATCTATCCGGTCTTAGATTTAGGTTTTTTAAATTTCGAATCTCGCAACTACGCCTGTCTCGTGATGCCCTTCAACCCGCGCGGCAGCCTGAAGGATCTCATCTACAAGAGCCAATGGAATGAGGCTTGGTGTCGGAAGTATACGAGGAAATCCACTTGTTTGCCAATATCTCAAGTACAACGATTGGGACGACAAATTCTGGAGGCGTTGCTCTTCCTGCGAGAGCGAGGCTTCTCCTCCCACGGACACCTCCACAGTGGCAATGTGATCCTGCAGAACGGGGTGGCTCGGTGAGTATTTCAAACGCCCACAGCACGCAACCCGCCCTAAAAGTGTTTGGCGGTTAATTGAGAAATTTCCAATTCTCACTGGAGCTTTTCAAATAAGCTCCGTGTGCCAATTGTGTCGAAATGCATGTGAGGCGGAAACTGAGCCAAGAACGTTATTGCATAACTTTTCGAACTTTAGCAATCAACAGTGGGTGGAAATTGACCATAAGACAAAATATGATAATTTGCTAAATTATCTTTTTGGCCATTCTCGTAGTTTATCCGGACTGGAGAATGGAATCCTCGGCCTCAATTCCAATATCAATGCGATTGTGTGGTCGAAGGGCAGAAATGAGCTGGAGAACATTGATGTGATCTGCTTTGGACATCTTCTCTTCGAGATGTGTTGCGGCTACGAGTTGGCCATGCCACAGCCCTCGCCAGGCCACATCCAGCTGGATCTGGAGCGTTATCCCCAAGTCGCCGATGTGCTTCAGATGATCTTCGACTCGCCGGATGGACGGTATCCCTCAGTGGAGGACCTCGTCATGCACGACCTCTTCCGAAACATTGACCTGCGCGAAATGAGGGGCACTTGCGTGCCATCCTTCAAGCATGGACTCAGCAGCTCCACCATGAGTATCCTTCAGGCGGTGCAGCGGAGACAAGGCAGCTTCTTCTCGGGATCATATAGCGAAGGAAGCTCTCCGTGCACGCCACCTTCAACACCGCGCCTGGGCAGGAAGATGGAGTGAGTAGCTGAGTGTTTCTTTTGCATGATTGAACTTTTATCTAACACCTTTTTTGCACGCAAGTCACCAATTCTTACACTCGAAGCAAGACTCTGACAATGTTTTCCGGTTTGCATGAGAAGTTGTCCAATATTTGCATGCTTCCTCCGTGTATTTTTTGTGGATCCTCGCTGAGATTCGTGGGATTTTCCAGGGATTCCGATACGCCCAGCTACTCAAGCAACTCCGATGACATCATAGAAGAGGTCACAATCGCGTCCACTCATTATGATCCCATGCACTCTCCTATTCACATCTGCGAAAATAGCCTGCCGATAGATGATGATGCCGAGGAAGGCTGCTCCTCTTCCCAGATTCACCAGACACCCAATCAACTCACAACGAGCAGCGCTAAGAACAGCCAGAGTCGTCGGATGGAGTACTCAATGCGCGGGATGAAGCTAGACGTCAGCAATCCTTCTCAGGACTCCGCCTTTGGCTCCATGACGGACGGTGACATCTCCATTGCCTCCTCAAGTTTCCGCCTCAACAGCTTCCAATCCGTCACGTCGCCCATCGACGAAGGTGTGGAAGATCTCACAGAGTCTCGGGAGTCCCGTGAGCCACCGCTAAAACCCATACAGACACTAGAACCTCCTCTGTTGCTAGTCAATGATCAGTGCTCCATCTACACAACGTCTCCACTCCGTCGTGGAGGAACTGTGGAGGTCTTCTCGCAGAAGTACAGAGTCTCTTCCTTCGAGGACATGCCCAGATCGTGTCAGGAAATGAAGATGGACAAGTACACTTTCCGGTCATTTGAGGAGGAGCGAAGAATTGATCTGGCCTTCGCGCCAATCACTAAAAGCGCCAGTACGACTTCAACAAGCAAATGCAAATGTAAGTGAATTAAAAGCTCAATCCCACTTCTGAACAATTTCAGTTGCTTCTTTCGAATAAAATTTGCTCTGAAAATACTCTGACTCAGAAGTGGGTTTGAAATGCCGGGTTTATCAAAAACCATGGTTCTCATTATATTGTTTTGCAGTGGCTGGCAGCAAGAGTTCCCTGGTTCGTAATGAGAAGTTCAAAAGACTCACGCACGCGGCTTTCTCTAGTCGCATGGCCGGCAGCCGACACGTTTTGTGGAAAAATAGCATCCTGGCGCGCAAGGACACAGTAAAGTCCAACGAGTCATTGCTGGACACTTCGCCTACGCGGTCGCTCGACGCCAAATCTGAGTCTCTGGCGCCCTGGAACTCCTGGAAGTCCCGCTCTGAGCGAACCCTCTTCTCACTGGCCGACTTCAAGCAGCCCGCGCTGGAGACAAGCTCCTGCCATACGGAGGACTTCACTTCTGACGAGGAGGAGCCCTCCACCAGAGTGGCCAGCAGCGGCGACAGCTCCAGCCGGAAGGCCGAGGAGGAGCCCGAGAAGAGTCTCGATTCCAGCGATGAGGTGGACGAAAGTGACTTCCTCTCCTCGCCGTCGCACGAGTACATGTGCAAGCTGATCGGGAGCGGTGGCGAGGAGACTCCTCTCCTCGAGGGCATGGAGATGTCCCCGATTTCGCCCAAAGACTAGCTTCCCGACTTGATGGGCAAATGTGATAATGCGTGCTGTATTTATGAACTCACTTTTAGACCCCCGAGACACTTTCCATGAAAGATCCTAGCGAGAGGTTAGAAAACCTTGGTTTGACTTAGAATTTTTTCTATATCAAGGATTAAAATTGCCCTGAATACCACTTGCAATTATTTTTCCCCTTGGCAGCCTCTTAAATATTGAGTTCCAGCGAAAGCAATTCCAGATTATTTTGCGCGTTTCAGGCAATTGTACTGTAGAAAAGAATATGATGAAACTAATGTCGATGTGATAAAAATAGATCCAAAGACACAATTGATTGACAAAAAAATATTCCTTAAAGAGATAACAATAATTATTGAAATATCTTCAATCCGCACTCTACAGTAATATTTAGCGAAATAATCTCATATACTAAATAAATGAATATTTACTGTTAGTCAATGGAAATTTTAAGAGAAAACAATGCCAAATTTCACTAAGAGAAAATATTGAAAAATTGACGAGTATTAAAGTAAAGGAAAACTTATCATCACACGAATTTTACAGCAAAGAAAATATCACTGGAAACTCCTTCAGAGCTTATTCTCCTCCTCTCGAGAATCCATCGTCTATCATCGTGTATTTAAGGCCAATTAGAGCGAAAAAATAGGATATCTTTGTAAATCCTTCTCGTATTCGGAAAAATCCTCAATAATTTTCGCCACTTTCGCCTCCCAAAGATAATTTCCCTCGCAGATGAAAACATTTTGATGCCGTCCCATTTTGTCATTAATTAATGGAAATTGCTTTGTAATCTCACATTAGCTCTTTATAGTGAAGAAATATGTCTACTTATTGCATTATTGTTCATTCTATTTGTATTATTCATGAACATTATTTTTATTAAATGAAAGTCAAATCTTCAGTGTATGAGAAATGGAATAAATATTGAATTGATAAAATAGAATAAAAAAATATTATTTGATCATTATTTTGAGGCGGTTGACAATTATTTCACTAAATATTAGCCAAATAATTAAAAGAACCGTTGATATTACTAAAATTTGAATTTAGACGAGGTTTTCGTCTTTAGACCACTCCTGCTGTGGTGAACTATTGTGGTGAATATAGGTGGTGAGAAAGTCTTGCAGTGCAGCGGCGTGCCTACAAAAAGCCTGTTTCCTCGTGAGAATCCTCATTTTTCAGTCAGTTTCGTAAGTGGAAGCACATTTTGAGAACTCCATCAATCCTTTGAGAGTGAAGGAACTACATTAGTTTCTTGCCTTTGAACGTTAAACTACATTTTCACATTGATTGTCGGAAGTGAGGTTATTAATTAAGTGCATTTGACGCATCGACTAAACAACGTTTAGCAAAAATGGATAAGGTGGAAAAATTGTATCAAAATTATGAAATTTTGTCGAGTGCAGGAGAGAAAGTCCTGGAGGTATGTCCCCTTTAACCAGCACACGCAGAGATTTGTGGAGAAACTCATGGAAACACTACTTTCAGCATGAAGATCTCTTCGTGGAAATGTTGGACGCTGTCAAGGGTTCATCGAAGGAGAAAATTCTCGCATCTCAATTTATTGGGAAGTTCTTCAAGCACTTCCCGTCTCTGCAGGAGCTCGCGATAGATCGACAGTTGGACCTCTGTGAGGATTCTGACCCACAAATCCGTCGCCAGGCTATCAAAGATCTTCCTCAACTGTGCAAAGACACGAAAGAAAACATCCCAAAGATTGCCGACAGTTTGGCCCAGTTGCTGCTCCTGGACGGCACTGAATTGATTGTGGTGTACTTCTCATTGCAAACTCTGGCAAAAGTGAGCAAGAATTTTGTCTTCCGACTTGAGAAAATACTAAGTTTGATGTAATTTTGCTTTCAGCTCGACGCCAAGTTGACCCTCACCGGCGTAATCAGTCAAATTATCACCGGAGATGAGCAGACGAGGGAGAAATGCTTCAAATACATCCAGCATAAGTTCAGGAACTACGCTCCAGACATCTACACTAAGGAGATTGAGGAATACTTGGTGGCTGAGCTCAAGAAGATTCTTCATGTGAGTAATATTGTTTGAAATATCAAAGATTTTATTTTTGTAACTTTGCGTTCTTGTTCAGGATGTAACTTCTGATGAATTTCAAATCATCATGACCATCCTGGGGAGTACAAAACTGGGAAAAACCGTGACCGGACATGCAGAACTCGTGAATCTTGCTGTGGAACAAGCTGAACTGGGAGCTGACATCGATCCTGTTACACTTGAGGATGAGACAATTGAGAGATTCATCCAGTGCGCTACTCATGCATTGCCCTACTTTTCAGTAAGTCTTTTGCAAATTGCATTTAAGAACTCCTCTAAATCTCGTTTATTTACAGACGCAGATAGAATCAACGCCCTTTGTCAAGTTTATCTGTGACAAACTTCTACCGATCAACTCATGGAACATGATTTCCGCTGCCGACGATCAATCTCAGGTGCATTTGAGAATCTTGAAGATCTTCGCCGAGATGTGCACTAATTGTGGCACTTTGGACAACGGACCACAACGCATTGAGGCCATCTTCACAGTTCTGATGGAATTCTTGCCACTTCCGCCGATGGACGACACAGACGTATTGAGTGCCAGTCCCTCATTCCAGTTCTCTCATGTGGAGTGCTTGCTGTATGCGCTCCACACGCTCGGGAAGCACGGCGTGGAGTTCTTCACATTCCACGATGATCCAGAGAAGCTGAAGGACTTCAGGGCGCGTCTGCAGTATTTGGCACGTGGAACTCAGGGGTAAGTGCAGAAATCGAAGTGGTTTTAAACAGAAATTAATCACAATCTTGACTTTGCAGGTATATAAAGAGGCTGCAGGAATCAGTAAAGGACAAGAAGGACGACACAAACTCTGAGGAGAACAAGATTAAGGTCACAGCATTGAAGACAACCTCGAATATCAGTGCTTTGATAAGGGATCTCTTCCACTCACCACCCAGCTTCAAGACAAAGGTCACGTTGTCCTGGATCGAAAAAAAGGTAAAGTATTTATAAAGCGATTAATGTATGGATTAGTTTTTAATGATAGGAGTTAAAACCTGGTTCTCAGGTTAAAGTAATTAGTAACTCGTCAATTGGATTTTGCGTTTGCTAGGGTTAACACAGAAAAGATCTAAACTTAATGAGAAATTCCAGTCAAATGTAACTTACAAATCACTCATTGTAGCGTTATCATAATGATAATCTCAAGTGATCAAGTGATTTGCAATCTAAAGCCTAATCACACTTTTTTCTCTCTCTCTCTTTCTTCGCCAGGAGACCGCACAGCAGCGTGAAGCAAAGCGTCATGCTCCCATTACGTTTGATGGAAAATCGGGTGGTCCAGAGGTTAAGAAAGTCCGTGGCAACACGAACGGCACGCAGAAGGTGTACACGCCGCCCTCGGGCAAGTACTCGGGGCGCGTGCGTGGGGGTTACGGGGGCGGACAGCGACAGGGCGGCATGGGGCGCAACCGGCAAGGGCGCCCGGGTGGAGGAAAGTGGAAGAAGTAGATTTTGGGCTGAGAAATGGAGGCAAATTCACGTGTATTTGTATGGATGATGATTGTCTTCAAGAGATAGAGAGTGAGAAATTTGTTGCAGAGAATGCCGTATGTATTGAAAAATGCACAATATTTTCCGTAAGCAATTTTCCAGAGTGAAGAGCTGGATTTGGAGTTTTAGCGGACAGCGTTTTAGATGATAGTTTTCTAATGGATTTCTTTCAGGAAAAGAAGTGTGCTGTGCGGACTTTGGGACTCCAAGGAGTGATTTTTGTATGATCATTTGTTTCTGTGAATTAACAAATCTTCTTTTCAGCATTTGCAGCTTTTTCATAACCCATAGTCTTAGGTGGAAATGTGCGCAGAGGAAGCAAAATATAACTTTTTATTTCAGAGAAGCCCCCAGAGTAAAAGCCCTAAAATCAAAAACCCGCCCTCGTTTTCTCGTCTTAAGTGTTTGTCTTATAAAACAAGACCTCGAAATATAGGAAATTTCCTCAGCGTGCAAAAAAAATCTCTTTAAAAAAAAAACTTGATGTATTAATATAGTAACTACTTCATACAATTGATGTAAATTACACATTTTCAAAAAGGTTCTCTCCTTATTCGTTCTTTCCGATCATTCTAATAAAAAGAACATGAATATAAAATCGTGACAAGGACGCTTTTTAATTGACTGCAGACTTGCTTTTGATTCGCTTGGAAGACTTTCAGCTGTGAATTTGGTGATTCTGTGAGGTGTTCCTTAGTTGATTGAAGTTGCGGTTTAGGATGTTGAAGAGACAATTAATACCTGAATTTTCCAAGATTCCAGTGTGTTTGGATAATTTCTATTTATCAGACTTTACCATCAAATGTTCAGGCACATTTTTATCATATGAATATAGCAATAAAAGTCCAACTTAATCCTAGTAATGCTAATATCGGCTCTTTTCATTATTTTGAAGTTTATATTATCAAGCACTTTGTGATTATTATTAAAACTTGTGAAGTTTTTGAAAATTAAAAATTTTCCACATACAATTTCAATGATAAAAAATACATTTTAATAACAACATTTTTCAATACTTCGCAGTGCATTTTCCGAAATTTTGGAATGTCTCAAAAAGTCAAAAACTTTTCGGATGTCTTAGAAAATTCAGGTTCACAGGGTTCAAACTAAATGCATTTTACCCGACACGTGAAATTCGATGTAGGCTTTCCCGTCCGGAAGCAAATCCCTCCCGGCTTGATGGCACGGACTCCCCAGAAACTAAGTACAGGCGTGGGGATGAGCGCGGAATGAATGGGCCGATGCTCCGACTCGGAGATCACGATGACATGATGTCGTTCAGCATTTCGCGCGTGATGAGGCTTCCGGGCGCCACGCGCGTCCTGGATCGACTGCGACTCAGCTGAGCCCGACGCTCCGCTCCTGCTGGCCTGGGGCCACGCTTCCGCCTCGCGTCGCGATTCCCAAACGCTGAGCCCGTCTGCAGAGCCTCCAGCAGACTGTCCATGACGCCCTCCTGCGTCTGCGGATTGTCAATGTCCACCACGGCTTGCTGGCGCATCTTGCGCTCCTGGGCATCCAATGCAGCCTGTTCCCGCGCCTCCCTGGCGCGCCTGGCCTTCTCCTCCTCCTCGCGGATGCGCAAATTGTCTGCGTGGGCTTGCAGGAAGGCATCCTTGAACGTCTTGATGTCCGCAAAGAACTCCTCCATGGTGTACTTGGCCGGATCGAAGGTGTAGTAATCAGCGAGATCGCGGAACAACTCCTCCATGTGCACTGCCATCTTGCTCAACACCTCCACCGTCTTCCGGCAATCGTGGGCAAACTGTCCCATCACCTCACCAAATCTATCATCATCACTCTGTGGCAGTTTGTTGTTGGCCAAATCCGAGTCGAGATTCTTCAGCGACGCATTCATCTGACGCATTGTCTTCTGGATATTCTCTATACTCACGCGACTTGCCTTATCCACATGCGACAGATCCTTATCCAGCTCCAGGGCGTCCGGGAACTTTCTCTCCACCACGTCCACAACATAGTGCAGCAGTGTCTGTTTGTTCTCATAATCCTTCGTGCTGCTCAGCTTGGTCAGGAAGCTCATTTCAAAGCCAAAAGCTTGTGCGTTCTTCGTGCCCGAATTCATATAATTCCCCATCAACAGGATCAACTCCAGAATCTTCGCAAACTTAGTACTCTCCTTCATCTCTTCGCAAGCCGCAGTTCCCGCCACAATGTCCGGCTTCACATCCTGTACCATATCGCTAAACTGCAGCTTGAAATTCAAGCTGTGCAGTCTCGGACTCAATCTCTTGATCTCCCCAATCGTCGCCGCAAAGTCCTCAACTCCCGTCAACTCCTCCTTTTTGCTCTTCAGATCCTGCAGGCGCTTCATTTGATCCGGTGGCGGTAGGTACTGAATCAACTGCTGCAGGATATTCGATGTGAGTATAGAAGTATCGCATCTCAGCAAGCAAAGCTTGATTTGATCGTATGACAAGTGCTTCAGTGATCCTCCCAGCAGAATGGCAATATTCTGGGCAGATTTCCCATCCAACACTCGCAAATCCACTACATTCTTCCTCGATGTGAGCGGCTTATCCAATGTGTCGCTGTGCAGCTGCAAAAAAGAAGACCAAGGAAACACAATTATAGATCATGATCGTGAGAAAAAGATCCAGACTAAAAATAGTTTTGTTGCATTTTCCATCTGCTTTGCAGAGTATCATCGCGTGGGTGAAGAGATTTGCTAAACAAGAGCTCATTTAGGAGTTTATAAATAGAAAAGCTAAAGGCGAAATTATCTGGCAAATCTACAAAGGTAATGCTTAGCTATTAAACAATTGTGAAATTATAGTTAGATTTACAATATGCATTCTCACGTGCGGATAAACAGAATGTTTTTTTTTTGTTGCAAATTCACCGTTCAGAACGTTATATTTTCAACTTTTCTTGTTATTATTATTTTGCCAACAGTCGTGTCTTCCAGAACAGCAATCTTGGGTGTTTCTCGATATGATCATACATTTTCCAGAGACTTCACACGAATAAAGGTTGCAAGATCATTTTTCCTAGAAATATGAGAAGCTCACTCACCTTTTTCACCGGCTTTGAGGTGAACTTGCTCGACAACCCATGGAAGATATCTTCCGACGCAAGCCGATCCTCCTTGCACTTCACCCAGAACGCCTTCTCCGACATCCTGGTGGGCGTAATGACCTGCCAATTGGCCCTTTTGATGGGTCCGTCCACGTCCCACTTTTTCTTGGGCTTCAGCCCGTGCGGCAACACGAGCGGTGCCTTCGCGAGCGGCATGGGCCCCGGAAAGCCACCGGGCGGCGGAGGCGGGGGCGGTCCCATGCCTGGCGGTGGCGGAGGACGCGGTCCACCGGGTGGTGGCGGTGGTGGGGGTGGAGGAGGGCCACCACCAGCTGCCATGACGCCTCCAGGCGGAGGCGGTGGCGGCGGAGGTGCTCCAGTTGTCGACTTCCCCTGCAGTGGAATATCAATGTTGGGCAACTTGCTGACGACCACGGGCGCCACGCCGCTCTCCTCGTAGGCTCTGATCTTCTCCTTGAGTGTAGCCACGTGCGCCTCCGCCTCCTGCTTGGCTGTCTCGAGCACTTCCAGTCGCTTCTCGTACTCCTCGTGCCGACGCTGATCCAGCTGCTTAGACTTCTCCACCTGCTCGTCCAGCAACATTTCCACATCGATGTGGAAATCACGGCTGCGGAAGTTTGGATCGCAGCCATTCTTGAAGAATACTATCTGCGAGACACACTCCTCAATCAACTGGAAATACGCTGGTCGATACTCGTGATCGTCCCGGATGAAGAGCAAGTGTTGCAGAATCGACAGGAAGTATGGCTCTGCCGTTGTCTCCGACACGATGTTCTTCACCAACTCATAACAGTCATTCATATCGTCTAACTCCAGTCGCACATTGTCGAATCGCTGGCTGAACTCCTCCGAGTCATCCTCTCGCGCATCATTGAAGATCTTGTAGTGATTCTTCAGGATCTCCATGTTGCTGTTCTCCACAATATCGCCCAGCAGTTCCATTCGTTCATACAAGCCCGTCCGCATGATCTCACACCGGAGATGCAGTCGGAAATTGAGGTCGGGTGAGTTGAGAATGGTGTTGATAAACATGAGGCAAAGATAGCAGAGATCCCGTTTCGTCTCATTTGCGTCGTGCTCCACAAACAAACCCTCCACGATAAATCTGCAAAGAAGGAGACATTTCGGGGCATTATTTCTGCATCGCTCGTCTGATTAGATAATTCAGTTTCGCGGGCGGAAAGTGAAAGCCACTCAAATTGGCCAATTTGTGAGATCATCCACACAAATTATACTCAAGGCAGCGCGTCTGAAAATAAACCTCGCCGCTCCCCTCCTCACCTGAAGCGCTCGCCCGACTTGTCCACCGTGGCGGCGGCATTCGTGATGGCTCTCAGCACTTTGTCATACCCATTCCTCTCGGGAATGAGGCACAGACCCGCCAGGAGCTTCAGAGCCTCGCACATGGTGTGCGGCTTCCGCGGGTCCAGGCACTGCGCCAGGAGCAGCACAGCCGCGTGCTGCTGCGGCCCAATGATGGCATTCAGCCCCCATGTGTTGTTCAGGATCGCCTTCAGACATCGGATGCACTCGTATTCCGTCTTCTCGAACCACTTCTGCGGCTTGAAGTCCCGCCACAGGCTCACAATCTCATCGATTCCCTCCTCGCCGAACTCCTTGATCCAGCTGATGGGGTTGCTCGTGAGCGCCACTCTCAGGCTCTCCACGCACGAGTAGATCTTGTGGATGTGGTGCTCGCGATCGCGCAAGTACACAATGTAGTCCCATGGCTTCTCGAAGCGCGAGTGCGTTCGGTTCTCAGTTGAGGCCTTGCCTGGAAGATTGAGCACAAAATCTTATCTTACAGAAAGAATGACAACAATTCGCGCAGAGCAAACACAGATTTGCCGATAAATTCATTCACAGATGTTGCTTTTGTCGCCTCGAGACAGCATGTAGTGATAAGAAAAAAGGCATTTTCAGCAGCACCAGATTTGACTGAAACAATCAATTGTCGATAAAATTGTGGTTTCTTTGCCAAAATACATGAATCAAGAGACAATAAAGAGTCGTAAATACCTGAAAAGATTACTCATTATGGCGAATTTCCTGAATTTTTTGGCTTGGATTTGAAAAATTGTCGATTAGCTACTTAATATCTTAACATTCAGATTACTATTCAGGTTTATTGACTTTCAGACAAATATGTATTATACATAAAATGAGTGAAGGATAAAATTTATAATCCGAATATATCTAGATGCAAATGTTTTTCTTGCAATGTGTGCTTTTTGATATAGGATTTTATAGCAAAGAATCAAATATGACGGCTGGTGATTTACCCAACGATCTATTTTTTGGTCTAATGATACTCTTATCATGATCAGATTCGTACTTTCAGAGGTGACTCAGGAATTGCAAAGAAAATTATGAAAATTTGTGATACGACAGAAATGGCAAGAGTTAATCAAATAAAAAGGCGGATTATTTATAGTCATTGTTTACGCGTTGACAATGACCAAGATTCATCTCAGGGTTTCCAGACGTCAACAAATGCCAATTGCCTGATTTTGAGGTGTCTGCGGCCTCTCACTGAGAGTCTCTTGCGCTTTCGGGGCACATCATGTGGATTCTGGTGTGGTCGAAGGCACCCGGAAATGGAAACTCACCCTTTGTGTGCATGAGAATCATCTCGCGCTTCTCCTCCAGACTCTTGAGCAGCAGTGGTTGCCGCTTGTCCTTGGGTATGTTCATGTCCTCCAGGATGTCGAGGAATTTGTGCGTGATCTCCTCCGTGGTCATCCTATACACCTCGGCCGTGAGCTGCTGCAAGTCGCCCTCGGGCTCCGAAATGGGGCGACCGCCGTTCGAGCTGCTCGCCTTCCCGCGCAGCTTCGGCCGCCCGAAGAGCGTGTCCATAATTCCGGACGGCTTGGACTTCTCCTGGCGCGACATCACTCTTATCTAACGTCCTATCACTCTTCTTCTCGCCCGCGGGCGCTGAAGACACCTTTCGTGGCACTTGTTGCAGGTGCGAATCCGCCCGGAACACGATCCAGGGCGTGGGGATGCAAACGCGACTGCAGCTTCACTCTCGGGGGCCCCGGGACACTACACTGAGGCACATTCTGACACAATCACACTATTTTCGGGCCGACTTAGGCGGATTTTTGGGCATTTCCTCTGTTTTTCACTCACATCCATCAACAGTCAATGATGTCATGATGTCACGATGATTTTCGTGCCAATTCGACCGCAGCGACCTCAGGTGGTGCCGTTGCAGTTCAAACAGAGAAATATTTTCAAGGATAACCTTTGTAATTTATAAGAAAATTGAAGTTTTTGGAAAGAGTTCCGTCTAAATTATAATGTTATTACTTGTGGATAGGAATTGTTATGTATTTTTGCAATTTAAGCACATCTTGTAGTGAAAACACTGATTTAGCCGACAAACGAACTCAACTTGCATGTTAGTGCATCATTTGGCGGCATACTGCCAAGCCAGCTGATATGCTTATGTACAAAATTATTGGTGTAACAAATTATGGTGCTAAAAAAATGGAAATAGAATATTTGTTGCAAATTAACAAACGAAAATAAATGTATAATACGGATTCTAAATGTTCCTTTACGAAACACGTAATTGAAATGTGTAGTTTAATTAGAAAGTAATTTTTATTACGCCGTAATGTAATGTCATCCCAGCTGAGAAACGTATTTGACAGTAGCGAAATGAAAACAAAGCTCACGTGGGTGCGAAAATGATCCCAAAATCTGGTTTTTCCAACAATTTTCACGCTGGAAAGAGTGAAAATGGCCATAAAATCCATATCAATATCAAGAGGAAGATGAAACAGAGCCCCGGAGGAGACGGAGAAAAGAAGTTCCGGATGGACGTGGTGCCGAAGAAATCGGGAGTGTCTTTGCAGCAGCAGAGGCAGTCTCTGCCTCTTTTTCCCGTCCGAGAGAGGTAGGGAACAGCTGACGAGGTCTCGTGGCAGATTTTATGTAATATCTTTTGGCTTTCCAGCATTATTGGACAGATTCGGATGAATGACACGCTGATATTCCTGGGAGAGACTGGATCTGGAAAGAGCACGCAGATCCCTCAGTACGTGCATGAAGGTGGCTTGACCAGGAGTGGAATGGTAGCTGTGACCCAGCCGAGAAGAATAGCTGCTATTACGGTGGCCCAGAGAGTCGCGCAGGAGAAATTCTGTCAAGTGGGAGAACTTGTGGGCTACACAGTTCGCTTTGAGGATTGTTCTTCCGATGCGACAAAAATCAGATACATGACGGACGGATCTCTACTCAGGGAGGCCATCAGAGACCGTCTCTTGCTGTCCTACTCAACAGTAATCCTTGATGAAGCCCACGAGAGAACGGTTAACACGGACATTCTCTTCGGCATTGTTAAGGAAGCCCAGAAATTGAGGCGGGAAATGAAGAAAAACCCTCTGAAGATAATCGTTATGAGCGCCACAATGGATGTGGACCACTTCTCGGTGTACTTTAACGGCTGTAAAATCATTTACCTTGAGGGAAGGACGTTTCCCGTGAAGATTCAACATATAAAACGGAATGACCACGATTACGGCCAAACATGCCTTATCACACTCTTCGACATTCATCGGAATGCTCCTCTGGACCACGATGTGCTGATTTTCCTCACTGGCCAGGAGGAGATTGACGCGCTGGCTGAGCAAGTGAGGTCCATCGCCAAGTCTGCTGAGTTCCATGACTCGCCAATGAAGGTTTTTCCCCTCTACGCTCAATTGCCGCAGCACAAGCAGCTGGATGTGTTCAAGCCTACTCCGCAGGGCGTCCGGAAGGTCATTCTTGCCACTAATATCGCCGAGACTTCGCTGACAATCCCCGGAATTAAATATGTCATTGACAGTGGAGTTGTGAAGCAGAAAGTTTACAATTCAGTGACTGGCATGGACACTCTGAAGATCGTGAAGATCTCTCAAGCGCAGTCCTGGCAGAGGACGGGCAGAGCCGGTCGCGAGTCTGAGGGATTCTGCTACAGAGCTTACACAATCAATGAATTCAAGAACATGAGCCTCATGACGACCCCTGAGATTCTCCGGTCCAATCTCGCAACAACAGTGAGTATTCTTCCCCTATTTCACATTCGCCGTGTAGGAACGTGTCCTGAATCCCAATCCGCTTACGTATAAATCACGGGGTATTTTTAAACTATTAATTCAGAGATTTCCAGAGGCGCGCAATTGTAATATTTCACGATAGTTCCTCAGCATCGATTGTCTGCAAATTATTTATTAAACACCCATTTAAATGCGACTCTCCGCCTTAAGAGAACCTCTTCCTGGTGAGAAGTGAAAATTGATATATTCCTCTCGCGTCCTCGCTAAGGATGATTAAAGAGAATAATTAAAAAAAAAATAGATTCCATTTTGCAGATATATACTTTAAAGTTCGTTAACAGTTTATGAGTATCTGAAATGCCATAAAATTGCAATTCTCATTTAAACTTTTTTGTGGAGGAATTTGTGAAAGGAATAAAAAATGAATGATAATTGCTTCTATAATTTATTATTCACTAGCTTTAAATTGAAATTTGAAGAACAATAGTTGTATTTAATTCAGCTCAGAAACTTTTCAGTTCTATAAAAGGCCATTAAACAGCCAATAAGACTGACTTTTCATCGTCTAGAGTCGGAAAGACTATAGATTTCTTTTCTTTCTACCCTGAAAGAATAATAATTTTCCATTCTTGTTCTGCTCTTCATTTTCCCGAAATCAATGGAGAAAGAGAAACTATCAGATTCTCAGTGAGTGAAATGGCATCACAGTGAAAGCTCGTGTGTATTTGCAGGTCCTCCAACTCCTCGCGCTCGGCATTGATTGCATGAATTTTGATTTTATGGACAAACCATCGAGGGAGTCATTAAATAGTGCCATAAAACTTTTATATGAATTGAAAGCTATCGCATCAATTGAGAGTCCAAAGCTAACGGAGGCGGGCAGGAAGATGAGTCAATTTCCCTTGGATCCGCGCTTCAGCAAAATCCTGCTTGAGGCCAGCGGCTACGGTTGCCTGACTGAGGTGAGCGCGCTGAGCGGCTTTGTGGTGTTCTCAATTTGTGAATTTATGACTCTCTTGCAGATGATCACGATAATCGCTGTGCTGTCGGGTGAGAATATTTTCCACAGCAGCACAGATAAGAGGGACCAAATTCTAGTGGCCCACAGCAAGTTTCTGTCCAAGTATGGAGATCACCTCACCATTCTCAATGCCTTCCGGGAGTTTTTAGGCGCTGAGAACCCGAAAATGTGGTGCTTCAAACACTTTCTCAACTACCGCAATCTCATGTATGCGGCCGAAGTGAGGAAGCAACTTCAGGAGATCTGCAGGAGATGCAATCTGGAAGAGTCCAGCTGTGGAAGTGATCTGGATCAGGTGAGTGTTCCCAACTTTTCCATTAAACTTTAATGGGGTGCTGTCTTTTGCTTCCCTCTTAGATTCATTCGTGTGCCAACTTTTAACTGTTTGTTTACTCGACAAGCTACTGATATTGTAAATGACATGGAATTTTTATTATGTATTTGGCATGTCTCCATATGCAAATTACCTTTAAGCGCCGAGTTTAGAATGAAAAATAACATATCATATTTGCCAAATTTTGTCCTCAACACGTGTATTTGCCGCAGGTGATTGTTTTTTATTATTAAAACTCAATAATAAAAGATCGCACGCTCATTCTTTTTACTAACTTGATACTTAATTCATGATTTCTGTATTAACAATCATTTTGTAACTAACACTATTTGTCATGCACTTGAATGAAAAATATTTCATTGGCATTTCCAGAATCTCATGTTCTCTTAAACAATTTCTCCTTCCATGCATTCTTCTTTCAACAAAAAATCCAACTTTGACTGAATTGTATCTTAAAGTTCTCTAAACACACTATTTTCGTCCTGTATTCTTTTCTCTCTTCCTTTTTCTTTTTCAAATCACTGCCCAAACAAGTTTTCATTCCCATGAATTTTTCCCTCTGGGCAGAAACACGGAGAAATTTTAAGTGGATTACTGAAATAGCACACACACACACACTATTCAGTGGAATAGGCAAGAATAATTAATGGCAGTGAGAAAAGTTTTCCTATTTTTCCAGCCCATAGCGGTCTTTTCTAGACTTGTGATGCTTTTCATCGGGAAAATTTCATTATATTTAAACCAGAAGAAAATGATTAACTAATGAGTAGAAAACATCCCACAGGACACAATAGCTTTTTCACATAACTAAACAGTGATTATTTATTTAGGGCAAGAATGGGAAATTGTGTTGGAAAATAGAAAATTGGAGTGTGGGTTTTCGGAGTAGAGAAAATTGCATGATTTTCTCGGTGATTTTATTTCATAAAAAGGTAAATCCTCATTAAATTTTGAGCTCCAACATGAAGTTAATCCTCAAGCGAGAGGGTGTGCTTTTTCCTCCATCGATTTAAAGAGTCTCTCTCTCGAGTTAAAGCTCCCTCTCATCCTCTTTGCGTCGGCATTTAAATATCACTTGTTGGGGAGTCGTCAATGCTTTTTCGCTGGTGGTGCTCTTTTTTGCCGCTGCCATGGCCCCTTAAAGCGCACCAAATAAAATTCACGAGGATTAAAACTCCAAAATAGTTTAATACGCTCATGCCAAAATGGGAGAACTGGGATTGTTTTTTCACTCTATCCTCAGGGCGAAAGGTGCACGAGAACGCGAGCATGCTTAAAAATTCATTCGGCGTATTGTTTATTCGGATACATACAAAATATCCTCAATAATTTATCGCTCGCCTCTCCTTTTTTCTGTCACTTTCACGCTGAACGCGCGCCTTTCCCAGATACTATTAATATGTGATATGCAATAATATTTGATATTATTGGATGCTTGATCGAAAAGGGAATATTTCATGGCTTCAGATGTGGAAGTTGAATTGACTGTAGTAGTAAATTTCCGGAGGGAATTCTTCAATTTACCCATTGATTTTGGCGATAGTGGATGAAATTATTAATTTACACACAGAAACTAATCCTTTCCAATCCGATGTTCACTATTTTCACACATTTTTGGAAATCTAACAGTGTGAGAGAATGAACATGAAACCATTAGGGGTAATTTGCAGATGGAATTATCTTCGTGTGAATTTTGTAAATGTATCTGTCACATATGTAACATGAGGGATACCAAAGCTATCAGATTGCATTAGCTCACAGCTCTTGTGTCCTTTGCCATTTTGGCTACAAGTTGAAGTGAAAATTCAATACTTTCCCAACAGTTTATCGTATTTAACATACTCAAATAAATATCCTCTTAATACAATGATGCTGCTTTGGAATCTACTCTTTCCCCTTTGAAGCTTATACATAAATTCTATCCTTCTGCCTCAATAACATCATGCTCACATTAGTGCATATTGCAACTCGTGTAATTTGAGATGGAGCACAAATGCCCTCCTGTCGAGTGTGGATCAAAGTGAATCTAAATGGTGGTCACTTTATTGTCTGTTGCAGGTACGACGGTGTCTTCTTGTCGGGTTGTTTGGCAGCGTGGCTGAGCTGCAGAGGGATCAGTTGTATCTGACACTGGTGGGCAGGCAGAGGGCGAAACTCCATCCGAGCAGTGCACTGTGTCACAAACCACTGGCCGATTATGTTGTCTACACTGATCTGGTGGCCACGGAGCGTGCTTACCTCAAATTTATCACTGTCGTTGACGCCGAGTGGCTGCACGATGTGCCAAATGCCAGTAAATTGCGACGCTACTCCACCACTGGACATCTAAAGTAGCCTGGACTAGCCCCAGAGGCTGGCGAAAAAACGAGTGAGTAGACCTAAGGTGTAGAAGTTGAGGCAATGAGACATGTTGAGTGAGAGCAATTGATCTGGTAGCAGCTCCATGTAGCTCATGAAGTTTTCCACCAGGCGCAACTCGGTGGCATAGTACTTTGGCGGGGCTGCGGTGGTTCTTTGATTGAATCCCGAGGCCAGAGCGCGTGGGCGGGCGTCGCGTTCGCGATTTGTGGGCGCTTCGCAGGGTAAATTAGTCATTTTCTTCCCGGCGGATGTTCTCAGGCACTTTGGGTAGACACTGTTATAACTTTCTCCCTCATTTGCATAATTGGTGATATTCCTGGGGATGGCAAAGAGATTGTCATCATCATACGCCAAGCTCTCACGCACCTTCTCTTCAATTCGCTGCCGGGTCAGCACTTTCGCGGCTTCCTCAGCCACCCTGTCGCCCGGAAGCAGGTCCACCAAGTATAAGCGCCACGCATGAAGCCACTTCGCTACGGCATCCATATCAATGAGTCTCGCCATTTGGGGATCCTCAAGGATCAGCATATATTTCACTATGCAGATGCCACCCTTAATTTCTAAGGTGAAGGCCTTGAAGGCCTTGATTATCGCCTTGATGCCAAGGAATAGGCCTGTGAACAGTCGAGGCTGTGAAACCGAAGTTAGGCTAAAGAAATGAACGAGAGAGAGAAATGTAGTTTATATGGCTGAGTTTCTGCAATGAAGGAAATAAGAGAAAGGGGGGAGGGGGATGTTCTTTCATGGGAATTTATAGTGGTGATGTTTCTTGCAAAGAAACTGCAGTAGTTGTGAAATACTTTTGAGAATGTTATAGAGTTCACTTTGTCTCGAAATTTCTCACACAATTGAATGTTCTCAAGAAAAGAATTTTCGGCTATATTTTCTCCCCGAATTTGCCGTATTTGAGAAAGAGTCATTGAGGTTATTGAAATGAATTTTGCAGAAGCTAAAAGTGAGAATACAATATGTATTTCTTATGATACACAAGAAAAGTGCAAAGTCTTGCTGTGTTTTCTATTGGAATTTAAAGTTGATTTACCTGGAAGAGAGTAAGTCATTAATAAGTTTCATCTTTTTCTTCATTGGTTAAATTGTATCATTTATTGACCAAGAAGATGCAACATTTCCTTATGTTGAATTATCGGAAACTTATAAGATTCCACTACTCCTACGCAACACGTTAAATAGCATAGCAATTGAGTTTCCATGAGTGTTTGTGCAAATTTTATCATCCCTATTACGGGCTTTCTTGTGAATTGAGTCAAGTTTCGCCAAACGACGAATCTTTTTAGCCAGTTTTGCGAGCACGTAATGCCTTCCAAATGCGTAACCTGATTCGAAGAGAATGTCTAGCGCGGTGGGAGTTTCGTGAAAATTTTAAAAACTTCCCAATCACATAGCACTCGAATGTCTCTTTGAAATGCCATACGGTTGAGGCGTTGGGCGGCATAGCAGAGCTCAAATCCTCACGGGGATGTGTCGTTGGATTTGGTGTGGTTGGCGGGAGACAAAAAGAGCGGTGAGAGAAAAAATCATTCGTATGAGTGAGGAAATATGTAATATCAGGTGTAATATATATTTCTCGTGTGCGATTTCTCCTTGGCAATTCGTCTCACAGGGTGAAAACATGAAACTCTGACTGGAGGACAAAAAATCCAACACGACATATACAATATCCATAAGATAAATTTGAGCATTGTGGAAGACAGTGAAAAGGGGGAGGGCGCAAGAGAAAAAAAAGCGCTCAATTTCCTTCTAGCAAATCTCTGAGTGAAATCTTCTCCTCTGACTTCGTTGGTGAGAAGAGAGTCTGCAATGGATGGAAAGCAAACTAAAAGTCCCTGTATTAATAGGGGAGTAAATTAAAATTTACTCGCCCTCGTTGAATATGGTCAGAAGATCGCAAAAGTCTTCTCACAAATTAATCTAATTAATTAATGTGTCTTTTGCCACAACAAACCCTCCTTTCCCTGTTTAATCAATATTTTTCCTCGGCTTTTCCAGCCTCGCTCAATTCTTTTCATCTCGTTACTTTCAACTGTGCGTTGTGCCTTTCCCGATAAATTTAATGATATCAGGATCGCGCTCCCGGTTTGACTTTTTCCAACCGAAAATTCCGCAAAGTTTACAGTTGGGTTACGGAGTGGGCGGTTTGGGGAGAAAAAGTTGTGATGAAAAAGTGAAATTTATGGTTTTCTCAACAAATTTATCACTCGTGGAGTCTCTAACTTTTAATTTTTGTTGCAAAAGTCTCATATTTTCAAAGGGGTGCCCCAACATTTTTTACCCACCACCCACATTCTATACGTACTCAATGTTTTCGACATGACTACAGAGTTAATCTCTGTACAGATCACAAATGCGAGTAGAAGTAGCGATCAATTGAGTCTGTATTCCGATTTCTTGGCTTTGATGTCATTGCCTGAGTCTAAAAGATTAATCTAAGCTCTTAGGCGTCTGAGACAGAAACTATAAATTCATCATAGTCTAGAGCAAAAAAAATTAGAAAACTTTTTCCTTCAATTTCACTCGGCATTTCTGCTTGTACTATTAATTTACATTATGATTTTTCTGGTTTTACTGGAAAGAACTAACTTTTCTTCAATATTACCACATTTATTGCTTCCTTTGCGGAAGCAGAAAAAATCTTTCTTCTACTGATCTAAAAATTATCTCAACTCTGCTGTGAGTGTGACCATTTTCTACGTGGGATACTCTCGTTGACCGAGACTGGCGTTGTCGGGAGGAAATATTAAAATTGAAATTGTGTAGAAATTTTTATTAATTCTAATTACATGGCAGTGTGGATTAAGTGGAAGTCCGCCCGTGAGATGGAGGGGATTGGAAATGTGAGACAACAACCCAATTTGGCGAGAGAGGGTTTGGCCTTTTTGTGCGCTCTTCAGCGTCCGCAACTTTTTGGCGGGAAAAGAGACACACACCACATTTTATATGGAAAAGCTTTTAACTTAATTTCACTCAACATAAATTCATTTGACTCCTCTCCTCACTCGGGACGCGCGGTTGCGAATTTTTTTTCGGTTCCCGGCTGAGAGAAAAATATCTCATTGTTCTCGATATTTGCTCTACATTTGCTCAATGGAAACAATAACCAATATGATTTGTGTGTTCATCCTTTCTTTGCAGGCCTGTTAATTTGGGATGGCGTCTAATTAAAAGTGCGGATTACCAGCATTTTATCACTGTACATTTCTCTGGCTCATGTAATGTAAATATTTTTTAATTTACTACACAACACTGTGAGATATTTTCAATTTATGGCCATTCATTGTTTAATTGGAGGGAGTGACGCTTTTTGAAAAGCACCTCCTTCACCACCCACTCGGCTTTTCGGTCAGCGCAGGTAGGTGTGTGTGTGTGCGGGTTTTTTTGCCGATGCGGAAAAATGTATGTCGGAAATTTTCATTTTATTCTTTTTCAGTGACGCTTTGTCCGTATTCACACTGCTAACAAGAGAAATTAGTCATGATTTCCATTGGAGTTGGGGTTTTTGGGGGCGATGAAATTTATTGACGAGATGAAATTTCTTCACACGCGGTAAGTTTTCAAATAATTTCAACTCATTTAGGCGGAATGGGTGGAATGCGCTCGAGATGGGTATCAGAGTTGGGGTGAAAGTTTACATTTCGTATGGGAATATTGAAGAAAGTGAGATACAGCAGAACAGAATTATCAACATTGTGATGTAAACTAAGGAATTTCTGTATGAAAATTGTTAAACAAGAAACTATTGTTTCTTCGTATTTACATACTTTCGATATATGATAGTTTTAACACCAATGCGTAAACATTAAATTTGTTAATTTCTTATTCACAGCATTTCAAAATTGTACCGCAACTCTAACCAAAACGATTGAAATTTAAGAATTTACGAACTAGTTCCCGGCATGCTTTTAAAAGAAATGTGTGTGAGAAATTCTACACTGTTCTGTCATGGGAATTCGTAGAGAATCGTTAAATCAGGCCCAACCTTGGGCTGAGCTCTTGAGGACTGCGGTGTCGAGAGTGTGAGTGAGTGATGGGACTTTCGAGGAGGGTAAGATCGCACACAAAGTTGGTAAAATTTGAGCCGCCCACGGGGTGGGCTTTTGTCACTGAATGAGGCATAGAGTTAAATTGAGATTCCCGATAGCGTGATATTAAATTTTATTACAATAGAAAGGAAAATATGGGCGATATCATATGGTTGGATAACGTACAGTTGTCTTGCCAAAGTCACAGAGGAGTTTTGTATCCCTGCTGAATCCATGTCACGATCTCTGTACTGATAAGAGCACACTAGAGGCAATATTTGATACATTAGCAACACTTGAACTATGAGGTAAAATTTGTAGAATGCCATCGTGATGATATTATCGCTCACACGCTCCGCACTTCCGCACTGGTGAGATTCACAGTTCCTCAATAGTTTGCCGGTGAATAATCAAGTAAATGTTACGGAGAGACACACACTCAAGTGCTGAAACGTCACACAAATTGAATACTGGCTTCCAGGTAGAATAATTCACTTCAACCAACTAGCTTTGATGGCACTTTTTACTCTAGGTCTGTGCATGCAATTTGACTTTCCATGTTGATGCGTTTCGCCCGAAGAATGCCTCTCAGTTTCCCGATCCGGACTAAAGTGGTCGCATTTGAGCGCCTCTCTTCGGCCCAATGACCCTCAATGATCGACCATTTGGGGCGGTTTCACTCCCTCTTCGCAAGCGAATGGAAATGCTGGAGTAGGCAAAAATATCGCATTCTGCCTTCCCAGTTAGGCTTCGGGATGAAATAGAAATTTTGGTGCAGAGAGAAAAAATTAGAAATTTATTGAATTATAGAGTTTATTAGTCCAGATGCTATTACGTTTAATTAATCATTCAGTTAATTCTTTCTCATGAAATGTCTCTTAATACTTCATAAAACGCATTGCAATGATCTCATCAGAAAATCTCTTAATGTTTAAAAAAAAAAACTAATCCAGTTTTTTGTTTGTCAGAAAAATTGCTTTTATGGAATTTGTTTTCACTATTTTTGGCACTTCTGTGAGTTGAATTCCGTCCGGAAATGCTAAAACTGTTGAGAAAAGTCAATAACATGAAATTTTCGACAACCGAGTGAATTGTTTTGCACGACTTTTCATTCCTTGTTTTTAACTTTCTGTATTTCATAAAAAGCCACTTTATGGTTTATTTTACAGATTTTACATTATATTGTGACTCACTTTGCACATGAAATACCTCTCATAATGCTTTCATATGAACTCATGACGATGCCGGAACAATAAGTACAACGGTAATTGTATTGCTCATATAATTAAGTTCATATACTGGGAAACTGACGAGCTTTGGCAGTTGATTGCATTTTGTGAAAAACATATGTAAATCTTTTACAAAAATACTGCGGCATTATTTGTCGGGAAAGTTTGTCAAGTTTGCCCATTTGAGTGGCCGTTTGGAAGTGCTTCTGCTCTGCCTGGAGAGAAATATTGCATGGTGAAAGTTTGAGCTTTTCGGTGGGTTTCATGTCGTTTGCTATGTAGTGAAATTTGTCCTCATTTTATCTCCTCACATAACCAGAGGGTTTTGCATTATCAGACACTTCCTCCGAATGTGTGTCTGTAAGCGATGATGGGTGAGCAATAACAGGGCACGAGGAGAAAAAAGCAGGAGACGGAGTCTGTGAGGAAGAAAAATAACAGAGGAAGTGAAACATTCCCTTAAAACACGAGAATGATCTCATTTTGTACATACACGAGTGGATCCCTCTCTTCGACGTGATGTGCGGGGGCGCAAAAAGGGGTTGGGCGAAAAGCAAAATTTTGCACTTTTTCTCTTCGCACAGGCAGTGAGGAGAAAAAAACTGCTCTCGAGGCTGTTTAATGTAACATGTTGTGTGTGAGGCAGACGAATAAATGAAAAATCTCTCAACAATTCTCTGCCATTGTTTACAATCAAAGAGCACGAAAAAAAAATTGCAGAAAACACCCATGGAGAATATTAGACAAATGGCAATTGTTATATTCACGCTTTTTTGAGCTCGAGCCTTTCGTTGCGGGGCTCATTTTTCCTTCGCCGCGGCGGAACATGCGGAAAAATATTAATATTCTTTCCTTCTTCCGGGGACACTTTTTCAGGGCGATTGCCTGTGTGTGTAGGAAGCGGAGGAGGTTTGAGATGTGCATGCTCTGAAAATAGGCGAGCTGAACTGCGTATATTGGGAAGGGATGTTCTGTGCACATAACATGAATTTAGAAAGCTTTTTTAATGGATTAAAGTTGAGGGTAATAAAAAATTTAAGCATTAAATTTCAAAATTGCCATAAGAATTTATAGAATTTGTGAACTTTCAGTTCTTCTTTCATGAATGTCTTAGGATATGAAGGGAAATTTTAGATCCACACATAGACTGACGCTAGTTTTTTCCTAGAATACCAACTTTAAATTGATAGCATATTAGTAGTATCTATAGTTCTAAGTAAAACAATCTATTAACACGTTACAATTTGTGTGATAAAGGTGATAAACATACCAACGTCTTTCCGTCAATACCAATTAACACATTTCTCTGTCTTCCATCAAGAAAGATAAAAAAAAGTGTGTATCGTATAATGAATGGGGTGTAATAGTGTCTTTGTCACCTTCATCCAAATTAAAAACACATTATCACACTTAAATTCTTTTTGATATTAGAAAATTGGCCTCAGTCATGTCACTTTCAAATACTCATCTGCAATTCTTTGTTTTTCATAGTTTTTTAAAGTCCACATGCGCTATCTCTGATAAATATTGCTAAGTAGAATATTTCGTGTTATTGTCATAATTTATGTCGAGACATTTCTAATGTGAGTTTATACCAGCTCAGAGATTTATTCTTGACAAATTCTCACGTTTCATGGAATTGTACACATTACAATGTTTTTTTCTTCTTTTATTTCAACTTTTTTCTTACATTTAATAACTTTCAAGATGAATTTATACATCGCAGGAAATGTAGTGTTGGAATTTACTCACTTCACACGATGAGTGTAAAATAGAATTGTGGGATAATTGGCTGAAAGGGCTGAAAGGAGTGCTGATCAAGACATATTTACTTCTATTTTCCCGAAGAAAATCCACCCTAATTGTCTCCCCGACGCTTGACATGTAAGTTTATCTGTGCGGTTTCTTCGGTTCCTTCAGCTGAGCATCTTTTCGCAATTCCGTCGTCGCGAATCACTATCAAAAGTTTTCGAGTGGTTGTCGCCTAATTAAATTATCACCAAATCAATTTGCAAGTTTGTACCATTGACTGGAAGGATTATTATCTGTCTCATGTTACACGGCATGTTTCTTATCTCTGCTTTTTCTCACGCTGGATGCAAAGGAATTTCTGCAACATGGAGGAAGTTCACCGTGAAAGCCGTCCTCGCATTAATTATAAATCGATTTTGCAGTGCATCGAGGCTGAAATTGTGGGTTGGAGGCGCAAAAACCGATACAGGGATGCTCTCCGTGAATAGGTTGGCATTAATGTGGGAACTAAAATTCGCAGCTTTTGGCGGCGCTGGATATTTTATCACTTGACATCCTTTGCATGTCCCGGAGAGTGAGCACGAGTTAATTAACTCTCGATTGTGCCGTCGATATATTTATCCCCGCCGACGCTCAATGGACTTTTTGTTCATAGCAACTGCACCATATTTCGTGCTACGTTGTCAGCATCGAGCATGATGAAATATGAAGTTTCGCCCTTCCACACTCCAAACTTGCCAAAGTTGAGCTTTTTTGCCCGGCCTTCATCATTCTAAACTATTAACTCGCGCCACACATCGCATTGACCCTTCAATGGGGTTTAGATTGTGTCAGGAAAAGTCCTATTGCAATATGCAATCAATCGGGTTTTTTGCTCGCGAGCACGAGAGAGCTTTGAAGGCAAAAGAACTCTGTCAAAACTGCCATTTCATACTTTCCAGGGGCTTTAAAAGGGATTTACAATATTCGGAAAAATATTCTCAATTTGATTACCACGGTATAAAAAACACAATACCGAAGTCAATGAGATAAATGGAACCCAAATCATCACAGTAAAATCAACTGAAATTTCACACAATTATATTAATTCGATTTCATAGTGGAAATTCATTATAAACTGATTAAATGTTACTGAACTGAAATCAAATATTTTTATACCCTTTTTGTTGGCTATTAAACGCAAAATGAAACTGAACTCTATACATACATATATGTATTAAATTAATGATGAATTGAAAATACATGTGGATAGATAATAGTAATTTTCTGTATTGATCTGTACTCTGTTCATGGGACATTTTTGTATTAATTTATACAAAAAGTGCGGAAACCCATATTTTCTCTGTAAACAGAATTTTTTTACATCATAAAACACGCATTGCGTAATTTCTCATTCACTATACATAATTTTGTATCTGTTTTTATACAACCAAGAATTTATTTTTAAACATAAACAATCAATAATGAAACCTGCAGAATTTTTTACCTATCCACATTTTTGTCAAAGGCGAGCGAATATCTATAATTAAATTTTCATCATATCCAAAAACACTCATCGCTCATAAATGATTTAAGGAGCCTTTTTGCAAGCTACGTTTTAAGTATGCTAATCATAAATTTATTATATTTCTCTTTGTTAATTTCACTCTGTTGCAATTACGA